GAACATTTTAAATATCCAAAATAAACAAACGAAACAAAAACAACAAATAAAAATAAATTATAGTCTCTGTAAACAAAATTATCCTTAAAAAATAAAGCTTTAGTTGAGACTAAAGTACCAGATTGAGAAGTTTTATCATCCAGAAAATTAATAAAACATCCAAAGGGAACTTTTACAATGTTTTAATCTGTCGTGTGATTTATTGCGACAGGCCTATTAATAACTGTTGCTTCTAATAACTTAGCGATATTAGTGATAACTTCCAGCTGTGGAGGAAACTTGGCCCACTCTTGTTCTAATTCAGCCTTTTTAATGTCATTGATTTCTTGATGTCCTTTCAGAACCTTTGTATATAAAAATAAAATATTTTGTTGAAACATTGAATGTGATCAGAATATATGTAATAAATCAAAATTAACTCATTAAATTCATGGCTTTACTCATAAAAGCTGAGAAAATAAAATTTACTTTTTTGTGTGTAAAAGCATTTGTTGCTCTTAATTCACCAGATTAATTCATGTTTACAAAACGTTTGATGTGTGGGTGTTTTTGATAAAATGTCTAAATATGTGACTTTCTGTCCTCAGACGTTCCCGTTCTTCGGCGTGGTGCCGGCCATCTTGAACGAGTCTGGTGAAGAGCTGGAAGGGCCGAGTGAAGGATACCTGGTCAGGATAGAATATGTTGTTGTCTTGCCGTATGTTTCCTCTGGCGCCTTGCGTTGAGCGCGCTCCGCTTCTCCGCAGGTGTTCAAGCAGCCGTGGCCGGGTGCGATGCGGAGCATTTACGGGAACCACGAGAGATTCGAAGCCACATACTTCAAGAAGTTTCCGGGATATTACGTCACGGGGGACGGTGAGGCACGGTCATTTATATCAGCATCAGCCGTTCAGGAGTCGCCCTGGTCTGTTCTCATCACCTGTTTCTACCGTAAGGTTGCCGAAGAGACAAGGACGGATACTACTGGATAACAGGGAGGATAGACGACATGTTGAATGTGTCAGGTAAGCATCGCTAGCTGAACAAACTCCTTCTCATCAGAGCCGTTGCAATGAGTTGAAAGACCCTCTTGAAATATGTGGAATTTAAGTGTGAATAATTAGCTTCTGGTGCTAATGCTAACATAACTAGCATTAGCAACAATAATTGTTATTGTGTTAGCAGAATAGCTAATGTTATTATATATTACGCTAGGAAAATTAGTGATTTAATGCTTTTGTTAACTAACATTAGCATGAGCAATGTTGCACACCCAACTAGTTATGTTAGCATGACTATCATTAGCATAAATAATTGGATAACTAGCTAATGCTTGAATCCTGATGCTATAAAAAATAGTATGCTAATGCTAGGACAACTTGCATGATAAGCATTACTTATGCTAATGCTATTATAACTAGGACTAGCTACTTAAGGCTAATGCCATTTTTTCTCTTCCTGCTAACTTAATACAGTTTGCCACATAAATATTTAATTCTTTGAGTACGGGATCAGGACCAAGGTTAATGTTAATGCTAACCAGTCTTAGCATCGGTAATGCTAATGCTAACTTACTAGCATTAGTTAAACTAGCTATTGCTATTTGGGCACACAAACGTTCAAATATAATGTTTCTTTTTTTAAATTCAGCATATAATGTAAATTTTAACTTGATAATCGTAGCTTATCGATTAATCGTTGGACACACAAAATAAACGTAAACTTAATGAAGGAGCTGTATCTGTTTTATCCATGGTGTGACTGTGTATTTCCTGCTGCTCTCCCTCCAGGCCACCTGCTGAGCACGGCGGAGGTGGAGTCAGCCTTGGTGGAGCACAAATCGGTCGCCGAAGCCGCCGTGGTGAGCCGCCCGCACGCTGTGAAGGGAGAAAGCCTCTACTGCTTCGTCACGCTGAACGACGGCGTGGCGTACAGCCAGGCGCTGGAGGCCGAGCTCAGGAAGCAAGGTGGGTCCCAACCGGGCCGAACCAGACAGGACCGGGGCAGAACTGGGGCAGAGCCAGTCTGATCTGTTTCTGTTGTACCTGCAGTGAGGGAGAAGATCGGCGCCATTGCCACTCCAGACTACATCCAGAACGCGCCCGGACTTCCCAAAACCCGATCCGGTAAACACTTCCCGCACAAAAAACATAAAAATATTTCTGTTTATTTTTCATTGGAAATATGTTGAAATAAAACAAAACTAACTTACAACTCGCTTTTCAGCCAGATATAGGAGCTTCGTTTAAGTTAATGATTCAGTTGGCAGATAAATTTACTGAGAACAATAAATTTTTCCCACATTTCGGGTGAAATAATTAATATCAAACAATTATTTAGTTGGTAAGACTTTGCGTTTTTGCAGTGTGATCTGCTTGTAAACGAACTTCATTGTGTTTGCAGGAAAGATCATGCGGCGGGTGCTTCGTAAAATTGCCTGCAATGAAAAGGATCTGGGCGACGTTTCCACGCTGGCCGACTCCTCCGTCGTTGACGAGCTTTTCAGGAACCGATGCGTCACCACGGCGTGACGACGCCCCCCGGAGACTCGCCACAGGAAGCGCAGAAGACGAGCCGGCGCTGCTGGAAAATATTTCCTCCTTCCGCTGCGGCGGCGGCGGCAAAACGCTGCAGCGGCGGCGTTGCAGCCAGTAACGCAGCAACAACCCAAAGGTAGCAGCTCAGGGCGTTCAGAACCACCGGGCGGCTTCTTCTTTATTCCTGGTTTCTGCTAGAAGACAGTCGAGTTTCTCTAACGGTCCAGTCAAATCCAAGCCATAACACTGAATAACGTTTTTAGCAAGCTTTATCTGTCATTTAAAAGAAAAATGTCTGTAACCATTTTTTCTCCTGTCTGTTTTTATTTGAACTGAATTTAATCATATTTTGTTGGCTGTTTTGCGTTTTTATTCTGTCAAGATAAGACAGTCGGTGTACATCAGAGAAATAATATGAACATGTTTCTACATCCGTTGGCTGGCAGAAACTGCACTGCAAAAACAGAAAAAGCAGTTTTGAAAATATCTTGGTATACTTGAAAAAGAAAAAACTAACTTACAAGTAACTTTTCAGCAAGAAACAGGAGCTTATTAAACCAAATAATTCCTTAATATCGCTAAAAAAGAACGAGTTTAACTGGCAGGTTATTTCATTTATAACATGGAAAAATGTTTTGTTTTAAGGAAAATAAAATCAGCCAGTTAAACTCATTTTTCTCACCAATATTAAGGAATTATTTACTTAAAACAAACTCATCTAAAGTTAACTTGTAAGTAGGTTTTGTCTTACTTCAAGTGTACTAACATATTTACAATAAAAACTAACCAGAATTACTGGGTAGAATTGTGTTTTGAAGTGTAGAGAAGACATTTAACTTAAAATAACAACAAACTCATCTTGAAACATAAAAAATAAACCTTTAAAAGTTTAACTGTTCACTCTGAAATCAGACATAACAAATTAAATCTTTGTTGGGTAAGGAAAGCTGGTGAAGTCGGTAGCTGTAGTTGTAAATATTCATGATTTAAACTCAGATTAACAGAATTGTTTATTTCCATAAAATATCCACTCATGTTTTATTTCATCTGTTGGTTTTGCTGTTTAAAAGCAGCTGGAGAAATTAAACTACACACATTGTACATGCACGTCGTGGATTTTTATTTTTTAATGTTGGTTTGTTTTCGTGTGCAGCCAGGTATGATGTTTGCTTTTAAGGCAAAACCAGAACGGCTGCTGATCTTTACAAACTTATTGACTCGCGTCCAACTAAAGACACAAAGACAAACCTTAGATAAACGACAAAGTGCCTTTTTTCCCACACTGTTTCAGATGATCCAATAAACGTGCAGTAGCTGCGGAAAGCATGCGATATTATATCAAGTCATATTTCAGTTTTTCCTTTTTAATAAATTTACGAGAATTTCTACAATTTTGCGTTTTTATTCTGTCAAGATAAGACAGTCGGTGTACATCAGAGAAATAATATGAACTGTTTTGATTTTAGAAATTGGCTGCAATGAAACAAAGAGAGAAAGATTTAAATTGTTCTGAATGCTTTCTGCACTCACTGAAATACACCTGAATATTTAAAAATGCAGTTTTAAAATCATGGTTTCATTTATAAACTACAGTACAAAACACCTCCTGTGTTAAGCCATGAATTTAGTTTTAATTAAAAATAGATGAATAAATCATGATTTGGGTTCAATTAAATTACAGAACCTTATTAGATTAATAAAACTCATGTTTCAGTAAATTTAAGTGCTCTTGATGAGTCAAACTGAATAGATATGGAGCGTTTATTAATGCACAATTTATTTACATTACAACAGAATTTAAACTTTTACATTTTCTAGTGACTCAAACATTTTAACTGAACTTTGCTTTATGGTTTCCAAACTTTTTACAACATGGACCAGAATCCCAAAGTTTACAGTCCTTGGGCTCCATATTGTTTTCCTTAGGAATAAATGAAACATCTTCCAGGGCGCATCTATGTTTTATTCTCACAGGGGCACAAACCTTCATCCTGTGACTTTGCATTTTTGAGAATTAAACCAATTTTGATGCAAATAAAAACCCAACTCATCCTAGTCCTAGAACCTTTTATTGAAAAAACTGCTGTTTCCATTAATTTATTAAATTTATTTTCAAAATGTCAAATTGTGCAATTATTAATGCAAATGTAATTTTTAGTAACTTCGTACTTTTTGTGAAAACCAAACATTTTAAAACCATTTAGAGTTTTTCTGTGCCTTCCTGGATGATTTCTACTTCCATCCATCTGTTGTACGGCAAACCCTTTCTGATCTTATGCACCCTGCGTGTGTGTCAGGCGATGACAGAAGGCTTTTGACTGTGAGAATGGTACATAAAACGACGCCAAGATAAACACAGACTCAAATTTACAGAGCAGTTTGTTTTGGTGGAGAAAGTGACAGAGGATTATGGGATGGATGGATCATGGGATGGATTCCCTCCTTTGGGACAGAAACAGAACGGCTTAAATAAGAGCGACCAGCTTCTTCCAGCATCCATCCGGCTCTCCATCATGCTCCTCTCCACGCTCGGTGAGTCTGCGTTAACCATTTCAGTTCAAGGGGCTGCAGGAGAGAAACGCACACGAGTGAAAGTTAGGAGTTTGAGATATTTAATGAAAAGTTGTTTATTTTTAACTGTTACTGCAGTTCATGCAGGATGCCATCAGCATACAGTTTATTTAGGAAAATATGTGCATATATAATATAAAATAATTTAATTTGATATAATAAAGAATTCATATCTAATCCTTGACTTTCATAAGATTAGAAAGTCATGATTATAAAGATGATTATAGCAGGATATCATCAGCATACCAGCTTATTTTAGGGAAGATGTATGTACTTATAATAAAATTTAATATATACTTCAAAATGTTAATTCATTTGCCAGATAGAAATTATTTAGTTGTGGTCGTGTGCAGTGGTTCAAGCTCACAACCCTGTGGAACACCACATTGCTACAATACAAACTAAAAGATACAAACACTACAAATAATTCGTACTATTGGGATCATATGTATATGAATTTGTAACTGTCAGCCTTACAGGAGAGTGAATATTATGAATTATTTTAATAATTTCAAACCTGCTGAACTTTCAGTTCATTATGAAAAATCTCACAGCTTTGATAAAAAGTTTTTTCTCTTCTAGTTCTGGCGGCATTGTGTGTGCTGATAACTTCAGGTAAAATAACGCTCTGAAGCGTGGAAACGTTGCTCGTTGGTTTTGATTCCTTGTGGTTGACGGCGTTTTATTTGCAGCTAGCGCCCAGAAGCTTCGCGTTGTGGCGTGTGAAGGATCAGTGGCTCAGCTGAAGTGTGGTAAGATCTCCGAGTTGTTGGTTCTGCTTCTAACTGGACTTATTATCTGTGGGACGATCCAGAATCAACACGCGACTTCAGTTCTTAGAGCTGGAGACCAGAGATCAGGATGAACTCTGAGCCTTCAGAGCCACATAAAGATGGTTACAAAATCAGCCTCTGATCACCTGAAGAACATTTTCAGAATTAAAGGACTGATGGCCCAGCTGACCCAGAACGCTGCTGCTGGCGTTCTGACAAAAACCGGGACGATAGAGCACTTCACCTAGTTCTACATCACCTAGTTCTACATCACCTTGTTCTACATCACCTAGTTCTACATCACCTAGTTCTACTTCACCTAGTTCTACTTCACCTAGTTCTACATCACCTAGTTCTACATCACCTAGTTCTACATCACCTAGTTCTACATCATCTAGTTCTACATCACCTAGTTCTACATCACCTAGTTCTACATCACCTAGTTCTACATCACCTAGTTCTACATCATCTAGTTCTACATCACCTAGTTCTACATCACCTAGTTCTACATCACCTAGTTCTACATCACCTAGTTCTACAGTCCTTCACTGAGAGAACAGACTAAACTACTGCTGGTCGTTTATAAATCACTGAATGGATCAAAGATCTGCTGCTGTTGGATCAACCTTCCAGACCTCTTAGGTTCTGATTCTGGTTCTGCTCTACATCTGGAACCAAACATAGAGAAACAACATTCAGCTTCTATGCACCACAAATCTGTAAAAAAAGAAAAACTTTCAGAAAACTGGAAAACTGGCATGTGAGAAAAAAAACGAAACATTGAGATTCTGCTTAGAGTTGCTTCTTAAAAATAGTAAATTAAAAATTGACGATTATATTTGACATGCAATGATGATTTTGATGATGGCACTGGAAAAAATGTAAAGTTTGTTCCTGACTACTTGGCAAACTTTAAGTTTCATAAAGTTTGTTAAGCAGCCAGTGCAGTCATATGAAAAAGTTTGGGCACCCCTATTAATCTAAATTATTTTCATCTCTGTTGATATTGAGTGGAATCCATGCGACCCTCAACTTTAACAGTATTCCCAGTACCAGCATTGGCCACACAGCCCCAAAGCATGATGGAACCTCCACCAAACTTCACAGTGGGTAGAAAGTGTTTTTCTTGGAACGCTGTGTTTTTTTGCCGCCATGCATAACGCCTGTTTTTTGTGACCACACAACTCAATCTGTGTTTCATCAGTCCACAGGACCTTATTCCAAAATGAAGCTGGCTTGTCCAAATGTGCTTTTGCAGATCTCAAGCGACTCTGTTTGTGCGTGCTTGCAGAAAAGGCTTCCGTCGCATCACTTTCCCATACAGCTTCTCTTTGTGCAAAGTGCGCTGAATTGTTGAACGATGCACAGTGACACCATCTGCAGCAAGATGATGCTGCAGGTCTTTGGAGGTGGTCTGTGGGTTGTCCTTCACAGTTCTCACCATTCTTCTTCTCTGCCTCTCTGATATTTTTCTTGGCCTGCCACTTCTGGGTTTAACATGTACTGTCCCTGTGGTCTTCCATTTCCTTACTATGTTCCTCACAGTGGAAACTGACAGTTTAAATCTCTGAGATAACTTTTTGTATCCTTCCCCTAAACAACTGTGTTGAACAGTCTTTGTTTTCAGATCATTTGAGAGTTGTTTTGATGTGCCCATGATGCCACTCTTCATAGGAGATCCAGACTGGAGAACAACTTGCAATCGGCCTCCTTAAATACCTTTTCTCATGATTGGATACACCTGGCTATGAGGTTCAAAGCTTAATGAGGTTGCCAAACCAATTTTGTGTTTCAGTGAGTCGGTGTAAAGTAGTTAGGAGTATTCAAATCAATTAAATGAAAAGGGTACCCAAATTTTTGCACCTGTCAAATTTTGTTTTTATGCATATTGCCCATTTTCTATTAGTACAATAAACCTCATTTCAGTACTGAAATATAACTGTGTACATCAGTTATTAGATATATCAAACAGAGATCGCTGTTGGAAACACCCAAATATTTATAAATAAAAATAATAAAGATTAATGAGGGTGCCCAAACTTTTTCATATGACTGTACGCAACAAACTGGCTACTTAACAACTGCATTGTAACTTTTTATTTTTGTGTTTCATGATGTAAAGCACTTTGAACTGCCTTGATTAATTGTTTGGAGGTTAAAACCTTCAACATTTCATTCCTCTTTGCTAGACAAAGATGAGGTTATATCTGTGACCAGTGCTGCATACGGACGTAGAGACCAGAAGACGTGCGCCGCTGGACGACCCGCCAACCAGATAGTCAACGTTCGATGTTCCCGGAGCTTCGGCATCAATCCATTCAATATCTTACCAAAACCATTGCATCTACACAAGCACTTTCGGAAGTTAGTTCCCATCTTTGATCGTCAAGGAAAAGGCAGCAGCTCAAATAAAGTTGCTGAGAGGTATAAATGTTTCTGTTGGTGTCAAATTGATTCTGGATTAAATCTCTAATCTTAGTTCTTGAGCATCCATCTACAGCTGCAACGGGAAGCAGAGCTGTTCTATCACAGCAGCAAACTCTGTGTTTGGAGATCCCTGCGTCAGAACCTACAAATACCTGGAGGTGGATTACACATGTGAAAGTGAGTAAAGGTGGAAACATTAGAGATTGGTCAATCTCTCCAAGGAAGGAGGAGCAAAAATTAAAGTTGTTAATAAGAAGCAAATCTCTGAAAATGGAGCCACATGAACCAGGATGACCTCTGTTAGCTCTCATAGTCAGTGACAGAGCTAGACGTTTAAATCTGGGGGGGAGAAAGGGGCCCAGGGCTCAGGGGGTCCACAAATGAGAAATAAGTGTGTGTGCATATATATATATATATATATATATATATATATATATATATATATATATATATATATATATATATATATATATATATATATATATGACAACAGTTCTAGAAAAAAGTCATGTGGAACTAATTCTGTTCATTTTAAAGTACAAACTGTGAGTATTTGAGCACTAAAAATACAGAACATTTATAATTACTATCATTGAAAACTGCACAATAACAGATTTGTGTTTCAGAATAAGTGAAGTTGTAGAGACACCAGCAGGGATGTGAAAACTTACTGAGTTTGTGGGGATCAGTGACGGTTATAAAGCTGCTGGGAGGAAAGATCTATGTGAACTTAGGATGGGAACTGATCTCTGAGACTCAGGCTGACATTTTCTAGCATCTGGCTATCATGTTGTTATTTATATATTAATTATTATCATGAACATGTTCTAAATTCTAGAAATTAAGAGAAAAAAGTTAATATTTTGTCAGGCAGTGATGATTTTTCTTGATTGTTTTCTTAACAAATTTGAATAAGTCTGTCATTAACTGTGTAAGTGTACACAGTTAAAGACAGAGAGCAAACTATCATTTGTTTTCTTTACTGTGTTAAAGAACACATGTCGGCAATGTTCCCCATCAGCAAACATGTTTTAGCAGCAAGATTTAGAGGAGCCGCCTTCAACCAATAAACCGGGTCAAACACGAAGGCGCCGCTGGACCTCCACTGTGTTTTTAACGCTAATGAAAGCGTGGAGAGCCGGGCTTTGTCCAATTCCATCTCTATATTCAGGGCCATTAATGTGATCTGATCCTCTTCTGACAGACCCTGAAGGAAAACCTGAGAGTGGTCCCACTGTGGCATGTGAGGGATCAGTGGCTCAGCTGAAGTGTGGTAAGATCACTGGTTTTACTGGTGGGTTCGGGAGCATTACACCAGGAAAATGTCTCTCCAGCGTTTACAATCCTCTCTGTCAGACGGAGGAAAGGTTATATCTGTGACCGGTGCCACATACGGACGTAGAGACCAGAAGACGTGCGCCGCTGGACGACCCGCCGACCAGATAGCCAATATCCAATGCCCCCAGAGCTTCGGCATCAAGCCATCCTTTCGTGTTATAAAACCGTTTCATTCATACAAGACCATTGAGGACATTGTTCACTTACTTTTTCATCAAGGAAAAGGCAGCAGCTCAAATAAAGTTGCTGAGAGGTATAAATGTTTCTGTTGGTGTCAAATTGATTCTGGATTAAATCTCTAATCTTAGTTCTTGAGCATCCATCTTCAGCTGCAACGGGAAGCAGAGCTGTTCTATCACAGCAGCAAACTCTGTGTTTGGAGATCCCTGCGTCAGAACCTACAAATACCTGGAGGTGGATTACACATGTGAAAGTGAGTAAAGGTGGAAACACTTGGATTAGTTAAAGTTAGGAATGAAAACAATCAATTTATTAGGTTTATTCGATTCAAATTAGTTGTTAGATGAAAATTAGAGTAAAATTTCCTTTGGCCTCTGTGTGTAACTTTACTGAATGAAGAAAGACCTTATTTTAAACAAAAATTCACCTGCAGTTTTTCATCTGTCTTTAGTTTACAAATTTAGGAAAAATTATGAATTATATTCGTTTTTTATCTTCAAACACCAATGTCCTGATGGGCCATTAATGTGATCTGATCCTCTTCTGACAGACCCTGAAGGAAAACCTGAGAGTGGTCCCACTGTGGCATGTGAGGGATCAGTGGCTCAGCTGAAGTGTGGTAAGATCACTGGTTTTACTGGTGGGTTCTGGAGCATTACACCAGGAAAATGTCTCTCCAGCGTTTCCTCTTCTCTTTGTCAGGCAAAGGTGAGCTTATATATGTGACCGGTGCTACATACGGACGTAGAGACCAGAAGACGTGCGCCGCTGGACGACCCGCCGACCAGATAGCCAACGTTCGATGCTCCTCTGGGAACTCAGACAGAGTTGGCCAGAGGTACAGAAGTTCAGCCTTTTGCAAATGTTTATAAAACTGGATCTAAATGTGCGAACTAGGAGGTCTACAAATATAAAAGTCTAATTTTATTAGAAACTGACTTGACTTGAATCCACAGCTGCAACGGGAAGCAGAGCTGTTCTATCACAGCAGCAAACTCTGTGTTTGGAGATCCCTGCGTCGGAACCTACAAATACCTGGAGGTGGATTATATTTGTTACGGTGAGTTTAGCCTCTAAAGTTTGTACATAAACTACAATTAGTTCAACTAGAGTTGGCTAAAAGCTTATGAATGGCATGTATGCTATCACTACCATGTTGTTGACTAACAATGATTTACTCCTTGTTAGCATGTTAGGTTGAGGTTTCATATCAAAGTTAGCTTAAATGCTAATGTTAGCTAAAATTCTAATATTGGGCATCATGTTGACCTCCAGGATAAAGAGCTTCTTTTGGGATTATTTACAGCAACATACTCCATCTTGTTTGCAAACTACATTGCAAACAAGATTAGCTAAGCTAGAGTTAGCATGCGTGCTATTTATAGGATTCTCGCTATTATCAGTATATGACCTACAGCAATAGAAGAGCATGAGCTACAATGCTAATATTAGCTTAAGTACTAACATTACCATTATGGTCATCAATCATTAGCTTATTGGCTAACTTTAGCTCTATCCAATCAAAACGTTAGTATAAAAGCTAAACTTAGAGCTGAAACAACATGCTAACATTAGCTTGTGGGCCCAGTGTGAAGACATTGTCCGCTCAAAATGTGGAATACTGAAACGTTTCTACCAAAAAACATTAATTCTGAGAAAATCTGCTTTTACAAATCTGTAGTTTTGTGGTCAGAACGTTTATGCAGGCAGCTTGTTGCAGCTTTTTTCTTTGAACAGATTTAAAATGTAATTTAAATTATTTTCAAATAAACTTTTTATTAAAGGAAATGTATTAAATCTTTTAATGTGGCCCTCAAGTTCTTTCAGCTTCACAATTTTTCTTCTAATGGGAGAAAAAGTTTCTAAAAGTTATATTGATGTTTTTATTTTCTTTTTGCAGCTTGCCTGACTGGGTGAAACCGTCATCAGGTCTCCTGTGTTCTGGATGAAATTCATAAAAATCAGGAATATCTATAGCATTGATTAGCAGCTTAATGTCTCCAAATTAAAATACTTTACTGGTGCCAAAGGGAAATTATCAACTCTTCTGTATCTTAATGCTTTCTCAACCTTTTGTGTTTGTATTTCAATTTTTCATTAATAAATCTGACTTGCATTTACATTTTCTGAATAAAAACTCTTCCAAAACTTTCCTAAACTATAAATTCAGTTTTTAAATTCTTCCACTCTGAACAGGAAGGAGCTTTGAGTTTAAAGATGGCCGCCAACCAGGAGTGACACCTTGAGGATGTTTTATTGGAGTCACGGCAACAACAATGGAATGTCATGAACATAATCCATAATCCAAGTTTAATGCTTCCAGTAATAATCTCACAAATCTATAACAAACAAAATGTACACTGGAACTTCACAACAATCACAGCAGTAACAATAATAAATAACATCTTTATTCCATTTAATAAATAATCAGTGATTTTTCTCTGGACGTTTCAACCACCTAAACTTTGACCTATCGGTGCTGGAATTCACATTAAGTGATGGAATGGGAGGACTGGGAGGACTGGTGGTGGCGGGAGGCTGCATCACTCCGTCTGGGGCACGGAGATACCGGGTCCCTTGGGGTCGTCGAAGCGGTCCATGGTGAGCAGCTGCATGATCATGTGCAGGCCGTAGGTCAGAACCAGAACCATGAGCAGGCTGGTCAGCAGGCCCATCCAGATCCCCGCCGAGAAGAACCCCGCACAGTCGCTGGCGTACGAGAACTCACTGCCGCTCAAGCTGAAGCCCTGGATCTGGGAAAATATTAAAATAAAACATCAATTTTTTAAACTACAAGCAGTAAAAAGATTGATCTCTCTGAGCTGCTCAAAATGACCAATCAGAGCCAGGAGGAGGATCTTAGTGCTGTCAATCACTCATGTATGCGCTGCTAAATGTTCTAATGGTGGAGAAACAACTCAGTGTTACAGGAAAAACCATTTATCTGCTGTCATCAGTGGTCATGCTAACTAGCATTAGCATTCACAACAAGCTACCCTCGCTGGAGAGCAACAGAAGGAGGAAAGGTGATTGACAGCGCTAAGTCCCACCTCCTGACTCTGATTGGTTGTTTCCAGGAAGGGAGAAGGAAGGAGCTGAATTTATCCATCTTATACCAAACTGTCACATGATGACAGTTTCAACAAATATGTAAAGACATACGAAACGTTTGGGAATCTCCACCTGGAAGTCGTCGAAGGAGACCCTCCACTGGTTGGCCGGGTCTTTGGCGGAGCGCGGGACGAGCAGCGGCCAGCGGAAGCTGCTGACGGCCTTGCAGCGGTAGGAGTACTCGGCCGGGGCGTAGATGTTCCTGCTGCCGTTGAACGTGGCTTTGGTGCCGTCGTACTCCAGCTCCACGGCGTCCAGAGTGAACCAGCGGCGCGCCGACACCGTGTAATGGCGCTGGCTCATGACGAAGCTGGAGCCAACCGCAAAACACGTCAAAATAAACAGAAAGAAACGATTGCGATCGCAGTCAGGCAACAACGATTCATCATAACATGAAGTTTTGTCTTGCTGTGACGAGTCCACCAGGGGACGCTATAACGCTGATTTATTGCAGAAGTATTTTTAAATTGTCATCATAATCAGTAGATGTAAAATAACATCACAGGGCTGCGAAACACTTACATGAGCTTGAAGCTGCGGTGGCCGAGGACGTTTTCATAGTTCAGAACCAACCTGGGAAGAAACCAAGCAGGAATGAAGCAGCGAGCGGCTGAAAGCTCCTCTAACGCCTCTGCTTCAGCTGCTAAACCCAAAATTCAGCCTTTTCCACCTGGATTTGCTTTTGTCGCAGTCAGAGCCGTGCAGCTTGGGGCTCACTCCCTCTCCGAAGGTAGCTGGCGTCAGGTCGTGCTCCTCCCAGCGGTTGTTCCGCAGAATACTCACCGTCAGGCCTTTGGCCCACAGCATCATGCATGTTTTGTCGTCTTCCTGCAGAAAACAGCAGAAAACTGAAGCGAATAATCAAATTAATCAATTATTGAAATAACTGTCAAGTAATTTAGTAATCAATCAATAGTTAGTTAAATGGAGTAAAATGACTAAAAAGGGAATTGTTACTCTGAGCTGAAAATAAACCAAAACTCAGCAAAAAAAACTTTGCATTTAAGATAAAAAAATCTTTGTCTATAAAACTGTTGTCTTCATGCAGCAGTTTTAGCTTCACCTGGTTCAAACTCTCAAGTTATTAAAATAAATAATCTCTGCTTAATTAAAGTGAGATAAGAATAGCTTAATAAGAAGTTTGTGGTGGATTTGTGCCTTCAGAAAGCCTAGAAACACGGTGGTGGCTGCATCATGCTCTGGGTTGCTAGTTAAAGAACCCAGGGGTGCCCAAACTTTTTATCCTGGGGGCCAAAATCAGAAAATTTAAACTACTGGCCTGCTAAACTAAAAATAGAAAAATTGTTTTACGTTTAATTTTTTTCTGCTAAACAAAAAAAAAGTTGAATTTCATAAAAATATTTATATTATTAAAAAACCAAACCATAAAAAGTATGATTTCCAAATTTATTAAATTGTTTTCTGTTTTGTTGGCCAAATTTGTAACATTTTTGACTTGTTTTCAGGGGCTGAACAATTCCATTTCAAGGGCCACAAATGGCCCCCGGGCCACACTTTGGACCCCCCTGGCAGATAGATCTAATCCCGGGAATAAAGTCTGTTTTGTTTAACACATAAAACATCAAGTTTTGTAGCTGAAACGTGACACAATGTGAATAATTCTGGACGATTAGAACCGCCGCACAGAATGTAAAAATTCTGTACTGTCCCTTTAAGGCAGAGAAAGACAGAAAAGGCACCTTGAACTCCACAGGAGGGTAGACTCCGGGCTGCTCCTTGACGCGCTGCTGGCGGTCCCGGTCCCTCCAGCGGTCCCTGTATCTGCCTTGGGACTGCAGCAGGGCGTCCTCCACCAAGCCCCGCCTCCAGAGACATGGACGCCGCTTCCTTCTGCCGACACGGACAAAACGGGGATCGGGTCGGACCGAACCTCACGAACATCAGCGTTCAGCGTCACCACGGTGACTCACCCTGGAGGGCTGCAGGCCGGTGTAAACGGCCGTGAAGGGGACGGACTGGGACTTCATGATGCTCATCACCTGACCCATGACCTCATCTGAACACGGATAAATGTGTCAAAAACTGATCGATCTGATGCTTTGATGAATGAAAACTGATCACAAGGTCTCACCGTTTCCACTGAGAATCTCTTTAGCTGACAGCAGATCTGACCTGCAACACAATCCGGTGAGAAAACAGTGGGAGGAAGGGAAATTATCCATTAATTATCTAAAGTTAATTTTTTATCAATCAGTTGACAAGCAGCCATTTTATTAAAAACAACAGTTTTCTCTTGTATCAAGAGGGATGAGCGACTTATAACACCAAGGGCTAAATTTTACGTTTTCTATCATTATATTTGAACATTACTTTGTCAGCTATACTGAATATAAGAAAAATTGTTATTCTGACATTATTATACTTAGAAAAATAAACTCAACCATGAAATGTTACATTTTTCTGCATCGTGTTCTCAGTTTTTCTGTCTTCCTCCCTTCATAGCAGGTCAGATAAACTGACGCTGCGCCGCCATTAGTTAATCGAATGGAACTAATTTTAATCTGATAATCCATTAATGGTACGTGGATTAATTGTTTGCGAGCTAAACAAGCTCACCCGTGCCGTACGGCAGCCTGAACACCAGCAGAGCCGGAGACGAGGCGTTCAGCCTCAGCTGGCTTAGCGTCTCCGGGTCCATGTACAGAGGGGACGTTTCCAATTGGTCCTGCAGCTGACCAATCACAGCGTTGGAGGCGGGCCAAGACACAGCAGGAAGAACCAGAGAAGAAGAAGAGGTCTGAAGCGCTCCCTGGGAAAGATCAGAGGAACAAATGAAGACATGGGATGAAATGTCAACTTCTATTCAACAATAGTCCAAATTTCTCCCTGTAGCCCAGCTATCCAGGTCAATTCATTGAGAACAAAAATGTTTAATGATCATTCACTTGGAGAAAGACTATATTAAGCATAAGTTATATACTTTATTTATTGAACCATGACATAAAAACTGAGGGATATTTCTTATATTCTCCCATCCTGAGTGTCTGACTGTAATATTTTACCTCAAGATTAGGAAAAACACCATCTTGCTTGTTTCCAAAAGCTCCTCCATACATGGTAAAATCTTCAATACTCATCTAGAGAACAACAGAAAACAGAGATTAAGGAGACAAGAAAGCAAAAGAAAAAATGTTTTGATTGGAGCTTTGGACCCAGACAACGGAAAGAACCACCAGGACAACATTTAGACAACAACTGAAAATGTAATTTACATTCACTGCATTTGAAAAATACTCTTTTTGTCCCAAAGGAAAATTAAAACTTGTCATAAATCATATCCTCCAGGCATCTTTAAAGAGTCGTTGATGCTGTTGGCAGACAGGATCTCCAATAGCAGTCCGTCTTGCAACTAATCTGAAGACTCCTCTGAGCACAGACTGTTAGCATCAGATGCTAACAGCTCAGTATCTGGGCAGCACAGGCAATATTCCACAATAACATGTCTTGGATGACATCATCAGTTGCTAGCTAGCTTGGCTAATCCGCCTCATTTGCTTTTGCTCTTTAAATTTCTGAGTTAAACTTTAACTAATAGGTTAAATTAAAAGAATAATTTCCATACGAATCTAATGGAGAAAGGCTCTATTTTCTTACAGCTTTTATAATTTTATTGTTGGTTCTTTTTTGGTAAATTAAGCGTTGGTGGCGCATACAGTGGATATATTTCACACTAGAATGTATACTTTTATTGTGAAGGGGAGAAGGTGATGTAAGAAGACACCAGCGGTTGCACTTCAATCTATTTCTTGGTTTGGATTGAAAGACATTGAGAATAAATCAAGACTCATATTTTCGTCTGTATCTGCTCACTTCCACACGTAGTTAATTTGTTTGGACCCAGACAACAGGTGGGAACTGTGAAGCGTCTGTGTTTTACCTTATCCTGAAGGAACAGCACCACATTTCGGGGCCCGACATTCAGAGCCTTCTGCAGGTAGGAGGCCAGCTGCTGGTGCCCAACGATGTGACCTGCAGGGGGCGGAGCCTGCTGAGGGACGGAGACCCTTCAAAAAAACCAGGAGACATCAAGCAGAAAGTAACTAAGACTTATAAATATGTGATTATTTGGAAAAAGCATGACTTGCAGGCTCATAATTTAGCTGGAATATTTTCCAGAAGCTGAACAAATGAATGTAAATATCTTCAGAACAGCTGTAATTCATAACTATTGTCTTGTTTTATTCTTTTTAATTATATTTTTTAATGTACTAGTTATGTAAATGTTTTTTTTAATTATTTTATTTGGTGTTTGGTTTGTAATTTTGCTTGATTCCTACAAAGTGTATTTGAATTTGAATAGTAACTCGTTCCAATCACAATTGAAGCTTAATATTGTGACAACATCTAATATAATTTTATATAATCCAAGCGTATTTATTTAATTAAAAACTGAAGGTGATTACAGCCAAAGGAAAAATATTTTAATTAGTTTTTGTTCTTTGTGTCCCTCATCCTCTTCCGTAGGCCGAGGTGAAACTAAACGTATAATCGAAACGCAACACGACCTCTGATGCGCGATATGTTAAATTGAGACCAAATGTGAGCATCACAGCTAACATCTCTCCTCCTCCGACATCAACACTCTGCTGACGGTTAGTGGAGCCCCGGTACCGCCCGAACCCTGGGCTCACTCACCCTTCACTCGTCCACATGATGACCGGGACCTGCTCATCGCCCTGCACCGCGATGAGGACACTGAACCCGGCCAGAAGCACGGCCATGACCCCGGGGATCCGCTGGAGGAAGAGGCTCGCTGTCCCTGACGACGCCATCTTTCCTCCGATATGACAGCAGGTGCCGACCGTGACGTAGAGGAGATCACGTGACTGCTCTGCAGGAGCGCGCTGAAGGCCGGAGGCTATGGCAAAACAACTTGTCACAAAATCACAACATATTGGTGAAATTCTCTGGTTATCTTTGTTTACGACTAACTTTACAAAAAGAGCGACACATAAGTAACTAAGACAAGTTATTATGTGCAGCTAAACTATATTATATTAAGCTTCGTTCAGAGAGTGTACAGATATTTGAAATATTTTCTGTGTTTTTAATTCAGTTTCATAAACTCCGACATCAAAACACCTGAACAGAATTAGGCTTAAGTTTTGTTTTCTAAAATATCTTTCAGAAATATATGATTATCCAGGGGCTAGAATTGAAACCAGGGTACAAAACAAAGACAAATCACAGCTTTAAAAGTCAGATGCTTTATTGAATCATACAAGAGGAAAGAGTAACAATGACAGAAAGGTGATTCGCTTAAAATAATAGGAAATTAATGTTCTGTTTCCCTTAGAAAAGTCAGTAATCTGGGGATAAAATACTCTATTTGTACAAAATGCATCAAACCTGGGGCTAATTTCCAAAAGTTAGTAGATCTTCAGAAAATCCAGCATTTTCCAAACCAATACTTTTCCAAAACCTTCACATAATGGCCATAAAAAAATCCCATCAAGAAAATTACAACTTAAGTGTTTATGTTGAACTGTCAGGCTGTAAAAGCAATGCAGCCACAACTGTGATCGTGATCGGTGGTGCAGCAAAGAGACAAACAAAAAACTGAGCAGGAATCAGAAACCAGATTCAAGCACCTCTGACCTCTGACCTCAGACAGAGACCAGGAATCAACCAGACAATTCCCGACCGACCTGTGGCACAACGTTGAGGTAAACCAGCGTGTAAAGTCACCTGATAAAAGGCTAAAGACGTCAGTTTGTAGCTTTGATGGAAAAATTAAGGGTTGAACATAAAAGAGGAGTAAAATTACGGGTTTGCAGTGTGACGTATTATTTGGCATAAAACAGAATGAAAGAAGTGAAAAATCTCAATATTTTCATGTATAAATTGTACATGTGAGGATTAAATCAACATGCAAGTAGTTGGAGGAAAAAACATTTCAATGGGGTCAAAATCTAAATGGAAGCTGCTGTGATAAAATCTTAAAAACAGATCATGTAACGTGAGTTGAGACGTGTAAAAACTGCTAGATTTAGATGCTAACAGTTAGAAAAAGAAAACTTGTTGGAAATGGAAAGATATAAACAGGACTAGGCATTTAGCTGCTGATGCTTTGGCACGCTAACGAATCAGGACGGACATCAGTTTGTAAACCCAGTGGCGCTTGGCTGCACAACACTTCCTGGTCACTTAAAGAGCAGCTTTACGTCAAATTGCATCATCACAATCAACATCAAAACACGAAGCAAACGATGAAGAAAGATCGGAAATGTGTTTTAAATTAACGCCTTTGTAACTGCTAGTCTGACGTAGCTAAATCAAAGCAGAAATGATTTTAAATTAAATATGAGAATAAAATGAGGAATAACAGAAATGTAAAATCAAGTGAGGTGAACAGAGGCACAGGTTGGATTTGAACTGAAAATCAGGAGCAGAAATGATTCAAAATCCACAGCAGAAACTATTTCTGGGTCGACATACATTCAAAACGATCAGCTATCAACCTGCAGCTGTTTGCTAATTCACTTTAAAACATGCTTTTTTATTTCACAGCTGGAGATTCTGCTTCCTCAAAGGTACAGAAACGATCGCCGACGATTTCTTCATAATTTAACTGAAAATCCAGCATGTCATCCGGAGCAGAAGGAAGGTTAGTGACCCAAACCAGAGTCCAAACCGTGTTTTAGCATCTGACCAGGCTAACTCTACATCCGCTGCTCCGTCAATCTGTCCTGCTCGCCGTTTGGAGGGAAATCGAGCCTCAGGATCTGGTTTCTATCTGTCTGTGAAGACCTTCAGCCTGAGCTTTCAGGTTCCTGAACTCCTTCTGGATGAAATCGGTCAACGTCTTCCTCATTTCCATCTACAACAAGAGTTTGGTTAAAACCAACGGAGGAAATCCAAACAAACAGGAAGATTTCTTTAGCATGACAATAAAGTTACAGTGAAATTTAACATGAGAAAATATGTAGATGGAACCTTAACAACACTGTATAGTGTTTACCTTAATAAGTGATATTCTTTATTAGTCCCATATCTCTTGTCTGAAAGGTTTTTAATGTGTTCAATCTGACTAAAAATTTCATCCTTATTTTCTCCTTAGATGAATGGCGAATTTATTTTGTTCTTTGTTTCTTTTGCATTTTCATTTACCGTTGTTTAAATACAAAAGTTCCTTGAATGATTTAAGACTGGGGGGATCCGGGCCCCCCACACCACCCTCAGATTTACGCTGTTGAAATAGAATTTTAAAGTAGCACAATAGTACATAAGTTAACTTTTAGGTTAAGATAAACTTAGATACAAATCCAAACTGGGACAGCTGGTGACTCTCTGAACTTACAGAAATTCCTAATCAGAAAGCAGTCTTATACTCCTTAAGGAACATTTCAGACAGGGAGTGTATTGGCTGTCAGGGCAATAAATTCTTTACTCAGGGTTGAATAGTTCAGGCAAACACTAAAAACTATAGTCTGTTCCAACATATAATCAAACATATTGGTATATTTCTTTAAGCATTAAAAAGTATGTTTTTAATTAGTTAGTTTAGATCCAAACTTATAGTCCTTATTTAGCATTACATTTTGTGCAAGCTTGGTTAAAAAAAACACCAACTAGTTTCTTGTTAAAGCATCTTGAGGCAGAGATAACGCTGCAGTTCCACGCTGTAAATCAGGTCGAAGCCTGGTACGAGAAGAGCTGGAGGTTTGGGTCTGAGAGGTAATAAAATTAACATTAAGACAGCCCACACAAAGGAAAAAACACACCTCCTAATGCATATATTCAAATGAGGAGAAAACACAATCTCATAAAAGGATTTGTTTCAGAGCAGAAGTTCGGATCTCTTTGTGCTGAGTGAGAGTTTCCCGGAGGATGCAGCTTCTGTTTTTGCTTTTTACTCAGTTCTTTGTCTCTGTTTTGTCATGTCTTGGACTTTTGAAAATCTAGGTGAGATGCTTATTGTAAAGTTCTTCTTGGATTGAATTTCTCTGGATAAAACTCTGAATATCTGAAGTCTGACGTCGTATGATTGCTCTTTTCTCTCTGCACACTTACACAGACACAGGAATTCGGGACTAAGAATTAATTAACGAGCTAAATCAAGTTATTCCTATTTTTAATTCTTAACAACGCCTATGGTTATAAGATAAATTTACGCAACAAAAAACAGACGGTGTTTAAAATGTCTGCAGCTCAATCAGGCTGCAAGAGAGTGAGAGAGAGCAAAACTTTAGCATACAAATCAATGTATAATTAAAATAAAAAGTAAAAGCAAAATATGTGTTAAATCTGCATGTAAATTTCTGCCTTAATGTTACTGAGGTTAAATAAAAAGGACTGTGATTGGTTCGACTAAACGGGAAGTAAATGAATAATTATTAAATTGGTATTTAGTGAATTAAATAAGTTAATGCTGCCAGTTTGGTAATTTTTTTAGTTTTCAATGTGTAAGGAAATGTGCATAATAAGTGTTATACTGTTATGAGATCTAATTACATTAATATTAATTTTGGATGTGAATATTAAGCCAGATTTTCAGTGCATTGCTTGTTCAAACATTTTTCTTAAATTTGCTGAAAAGCAGGAACATTTTGTCGTTTTCACCTGGTTCTTGTTTTCAGCCCGGAGGGAATCAACCAGCTCTTTGACGCTGAAAGGTTTTCCCACCAGGACCGTGATCCTCTGCAAGAAAAGACAACATTTAATACCAACAGAAGCAGAAGCACAACCAAAACACATCAAGGTCAAAGGTCTTACTTTCCCGATCCGAGGAATGTAGGGCGACTCGTTCGGCAGGACGTCGGTCAAACCTGAGGAGAGAAAGAGAAAACACTCACTGAACGGAAACAAGACGGGAGCAGAGACAAACATCCAGAAGACACAGGTTTCATTCAGTTAGCGTCTCAGCCGCAGCAGCGTGTCAAAGAACCGACTTCCTGTCCTCCAGAACCGACTTCCTGTCCTCCAGAACCGACTTCCTGTCCTCCAGAACCGACTTCCTGTCCTCCAGAACCTTCTTGATGTAAATGGAAACATGCAGCGCATTCGTGCTGTCGCTTTACTCACCTACATGCCACAGCGGCAGGATGATGGGATTCAAGGAGCACTCTGCTATCAGCCGACCTACACCTGAAACACACAACAGAACCAATGATTCACTCAATGTAGGAGGTACTTTAGAGTTCTCCACTTCCTGACCGGGGCAGAACCTGGTCCGATACCTGGTTCTGAACCTGCTGAGACTCTGGGTCAGACTGAAGAGAGCCAGCAGTAGGAGACGGACAGAAAAATGGCTTTGCTTCACATTATCAGCTGTACTAGTGTGTTTTCAGAGTGGGGCCGCCAGGGGGCGCCAGAGGAGCCTCAGACAGTTGAAGTATAATTTTTTTTTTTTAAAAAGGAAAAATATTTTAACGATCTGAATAATTGATAGATTACTTGATCACTAATAACAGGCGTATTTGGCACAGAGGCTGTTCCACTCACCCCATTTCAGGCGGATAAATTCTTCCGTCATGTTGATTTTCCCTGTTAAAGCAGGAATAAAACACAGAGGAAGTTTTATTTTGGTCCCACAGAACATCCAGCAGCTACAGCATGAATTACTGACGAACCTTCGGGGAAAATGTGGACCCATTCTCCTTTGTTGAGTTTCTCCAGGGCAAAGTCCATGCCCCTCTGGTAAACACCGTCCCCTGCAGGAGACAAACTGTCACTGCGTCTTTTACGTGTGCAGAAAGCGGAACTGGTGCTTTGCTCGGACTCACCTCTGCAGACAGGGACGCACTTTCCTCGGCTGAAGAACCGGGAGTGCAGCTCGCTGGTGAAGCAGATGTCAGACGCTGTCGGCGTCCTGTCCGTCCGAAGGCAGAGGTTTCCATGGTTACTCACAGGAAAATCTGGACTGGGGGAGCAACTAGGGATTCGCCGATCCACTTCCTACACTTCAGATATCTGAGGTTTATCATCAACTGATGCCGATGGATACAGAGAAACAGCTGAACTGACTGACATGTTCTTGGATAACTCGGTACCAGTACAGCTCACTGAAATCCACCTGCAGCTGCACAAGCTGGTCCAACTCCAGGAACAACTTGATTTGTTCAGTCGGCTCAGTTAGAAGCAGAGCAGCCGATGTCAAATAAATAATACTGAAACTGACAGAAACAGTATGTTGACATGTAAAAAATAAACTACAATGAACCTTGACTCTGCCTACATCTCCCAGAATGCAGTGCAGTCTGACACTGGAGTTAGGTGAATATTCTATCTATTGATAATGATCTCGTCTATCCTGATATATATCGTTGTTGATTTATTGTCCAGGTATTAATATCGGATCGGTGCGTTGCCAGGAGAATAAACTCACCATCGCATCTTCCTGTAGCTCCACAGCTGCCGCAGCTTCAGCACACCTGCTCCAAACCAACAGCGTTACTTCCTGGTTACGACCCGAAGAGCCGAACCGCCAGCGTTTCCCGGGTCTTACCCCAGATGTGCGGGTCGTCCATGCAGGATTGGTGATTGGACAAAGTGATGAGGGGCGTGTCCGACGGCCGGTGGTCAATCAGGTCCAGCAGAACCTCCTGGTTGTGGACGGTCAGGTAGTTCATGTACTCTGGGTGGAGACCAGAAAGTGGCTGCTTGCTCTGCTGGCATGGCTGGATGTTTGTTTGCAGTCAGATTAAACACTTACTGGTCCAGATGAAGGAATACGTTCCGACCATGCCCATGATGAAGGAGCTGGAGACCCGCCACGCCAGCGCAGGGCATGGTGGGAACGGCCATCGGACCTCCAGGGGCATCTTGGCTCTCCACAGGTTCTACATACAACCACAGTCACCTTGACAACAAGGAGAGAGGAAACATTCATCCAATTAAGGTGGAATGAAACAAAGGTCAAAGGTGGTTCCGGTCCAGAATGAACGACCTTCAGACTCTTCAACTTGAGGTTTGAAACATGATTATACGTTCCAACAAAAAATGATGTGAAGCACATCAGAGCTGGTTTGGCAAAAGATTAGCCATAAAGCTAGAATCAAGCTAGTGTTAACATGAAGCTAACAGAAAGCTAACAGAAAGCTACATCTTGGAGTTCCAAAAAATAAAAAGATGGAGGAGGAAAAAAACCCACCAGATTTGTTCAGTCGGCCCAGAGAATTCCACTGGGATGGATGGATGGATGACAAATGGATGGATGAATAAACAGATGAGTTAATGGATGGATGAAATGATGATGATGTTTAAGGATTAAAGTCTGAACTCCAGATTTTTCCAAACTGCATAAAACCCGGATCCAATCAGGAGGCTAAAGCCTGAACTTTGTGAGATCAAAGAAACTAAAAGTGACGTCACATGGTTTTTTGGTTTTTTCTCTTCCAAATGTGAATAAAAATATTTCTTCTCTCTTTTTAACCGGAATGCAGAACCTTGACTGGTTAAAATATAGTAATTATAAGGCGGTGCAGCTGCCTTTATGTTGATTTTTTGTCGTTCTAATTAAAGAGTTTATAAAGGTCTCAGTCCGCTGAAACATCCTGTAGCTCCTCAACACGTTAATGAATCTGACCAACATAAACTGAGACAGTCCAGCTAACACGTCAACTAGCATTCCGGTTAAAGTTTCATTCTATTTAATCAAATATCAGGCTCACTTTGCAGCCCTAAATAACCACACATGACTGTTTTATTAAGATAATTGCACGTTTCAGCCAGTCAGACAGTAGACACGTCACTTCCTCACTTTTAAGTAGTTTATAGGAAAGCTAACATGTCCTTTTAATGTTATACTTACTTTAAAACTGTCTCTAATGTTAACCTTTCTTCCTTCTTCTCCTTCCTCCTCTTTTTCTTCTTCTCTTTTAGTTTGTCTGCAGTATCTGCATTTCTTGCGGCGATATCGCCTTCTGCTGGACAACCTGATTACTACAGTCTTTATTCTAAAATCAGTCGTCAGGTCGGATTGTTTAATGTTTTTATTAATTCCCAGCCTTAATAAATTTGAGTAAAAAAAATTTTGTTAAGCTAAATGATAAAATATTTTCTAAGGACCCTCACACCAGAACATACAGAACTTCACCTGCATCTGATAGACAAGCTGAAGATACTCTTGAGCAGCACTTTTCTAATGAGAAAATATATCGGTAATTACTTAAATTATGTAATTAATTTAAAAACGTAAGTGCCAATCTTTTAATTTCGCAAAAGTTGAAAATCCTCAAGTCATTTTAATGTTATTATTTTATTTTCATGACAGCGCAACCCCTTCCAATATGGCGATGATCTTGGCATATCGCAATCCTTGAAGTCGCAGAGATTTTGCGTCATCAGCGGAAGTAATCGCGGGAATTCTACAGTTGGTTGAAACAACCGGTTGGTGTTCATAGAAACGGTTAATTTAGTGAGTGAGTGAAATATTTAAACCTCTGTTTATAAACTGCTATTACTGTACTGGGATTTAGACATTATTCTGTCGGTAAGAACGTTACTTGTTTATTGTTCTTACGTGGTTTAATAAGCTAACATTCTGTCCAGCTAACGTGCATCACTTCCGTCTGTGTTGTTTATGTTTGTGTTTCAAGTAAAGCTCATTCTTATGACTTTAAATGACTCTTTCAGGCGCTGCGCTGCCATGACGCAAAGAAAACGGCTTTCTAACGTACAAAGCGCCTCTCAGAGTAAAGTAAGTGTTAAAACCACGCAGGGTTGTTTGAGCAGGCTGGTTGCGCTGCCATGTTTCCCAGGGCACACGCCTGGCCTTATTCTGTTACACAGAGCCCAAGGATCACAGAAAGCATAAAAACATGAACATTAATCGGCTACATTTTCAGCTCGTCATATGTTTCTAAACATCATGTTCTATATCACGGAATAATAAATAAACATTTTATTTTCCGAATAGTAAATAACGTTTTCAGGACTTTAATTATGTAATTTATCATGTCACATTTTGGGTTTTAGATTGTTAATAAAACCAACAGAAAATGCATAAAAGTTGCAGGCCGTTCAAAACTTATATAATCTGATCTGGATTTGAGTAGTAAGTATATTTGCATTACAATGATTCAAGTTGGTTGAGATACACATTGAACATACGGATATAAAATCTCAAATAAGTATATTTTAAAAATAATTTTTTATCATCATTTCATTAGACTAAAATTGTAAAAATTTGACACTAAAACATCTGAATTATTGAAATTAACATGCATAGAAATAATTAGGAGCATTTTTAGAAGCTTTTTATAACCTTAAATGTTTATTTTTTTGAAAAGGCTTGTAGTTTGTAAGAAATATTGCATGCAGATGCTAACAATAACGCCAGGAAAATAAAATCTTGGTTTAAGATTGCTTTTATAATATGTGATTTAGAAAGAAAAAAGAATTAGATTTACCTATTATTGTTTTTTTTTTGAGTATATAAGGCCTGGATGTGCAGAAACGGCTCAAAACCCAATGCAAACATAACTCATGTTCTCATGTGGACTGACGCTGAAGACTGTTTACGCTGGGATGAAACTGTACACTTTGTGTTTTTATTTAGCGGCAGTCCAACAGCTACATGACGCAGGAGGAGGACGAAGATGCGACGTTCACTCAGCCGAGCACATCACAGGTCCAGAGGGGCTGGAGAAACTCACACCTGCACAGGTCGATCAGAAGGTAACGCAATGCCAGCCACACATGTTTGGTTTGTGAAAATAAATGGTTTTCATACATTAAAATACTAGAAATTTCTAAAAGTACACGTGGAATTATCAGCTGATCACCAGAATTATGGTTTAATTAGGCAATGTTGATGCAATATACTTTACCTCTCATGCAGACTGCTGAGGTGGTGCAGTACATCCTGGTAAAGGACCAGAAGAAGATTCCTGTGCGCAGAGCAGGTAGAGTATCATCATGGCCACAAGGGACTGGAACCCGCAACCTGCTTGATCTACAGTTAGAGGGAAGGAAAGTCAGGAACGGTTCATAAATGTTGTGAAGGAATATTCAGCAGATTGTAAATATTTTCCGCCTTTTGATGAAACGCCTGTTAATATTCTGACTGGAATATTTGCTTTGATGTGTTTAATTGATCTGATCAGCTTATGAGATCAATGTGCTCATAAGCTGGTTTTCTCTGTAGAGAATCAGAATGAGGATTTATTTTTATCGAACAGAAGAACAAAACAATCAAACCTCTGGAGAGAATCTCATGTTCCCTCTAAGGCTTTTATTTATTCTGTCTTAAGACGGGAAAGGAAACAAACATTTATCACTGTAAAAAAATCCCAAATAGTTCCTGGCTATGTTTTAGGGTTGGAGAAAGTTTCAGTGGTGTGATGTTAAATCACGACTCGTTTCTGTTCCCAGACCTCGTTAAACACGTCATTAAGGATTACAGGGCCGTCTACCCCGAGATCATAAAGAGGGCGATGCGGATATTTGAACAGGTTGGTTAATCTGCTCTCATACAGTTATAAGCTTAAACGTAAATCTGTCATTAAAATTTGATTTTTCTACCAGGTGTTTGGCTTAAAACTGGTTGAAATCGACTCCAAGAATCACATGTATGTCCTGGTGAATAATCTGGATGCCTCCCACAGCCAGACCGTCGCCAGTGGAGTGAGTTTCAGCACATGGTTCCTGGAGTTCAAGCTTTCAACGTTTGCTTTAAAAAGTAACGTTTTCTGCTTGCAGGCGTCCGAGCAACCCGAAAACGGGCCTGCTGTTTGTGATCCTGAGCGTCATTTTTATGAAAGGAGGCGTCGTCAGAGAGAGTGAGTCTCATGATGCAACGTTTCGCTATTAAGTTTGGCTTCAATCTAAAGCTCTTCTGCAGTGACCCCTAGTGCTTAGGAGGAGAAACTGCAGTGCGTCTGTACCACACAGACTGTTTTTAGTTAAATCATTTTGAAAACTGCATAAGTACCAATAATCAGTTCCTTAATGGTTTCTTGATTTTTGCAATCAGAATAATTTATTTTGTGGAGCTGCTTGATGTTTTTTCTTGAATGAATATAAATAATAAAAAATCCAGACACTCATCTCTTAAATTTACTGCTGAAATTTGATAATGTCCGACTTTATACTGCAGGAGAAAATCTCAGTTTCATTTAATGGAAAATTTCAATTTATATTTTTTGCAAATGAAAAATGTTTTGACATCTCAGGATATCCAAGCTCTTTGACTAAAATGTATCCCCCACAGCCACATATTTAAATTTTCATCTGCGATGGAAGCAGATGAGAAAGAGAGAAAAAGAAAGAAAACAGGAAGTTGACTGATATAATCGCAGATTATTGTGATGTTTGGCATGAAGTTTGCAGCAGTGTTTCATTTTCATGATGATTAATGATCAGTGTCACCCAACCCTAATTCACCTTATTGTTATTATTACTATTATTGTTATTATTATTATTATTATTATTATTATTGACCAAATGAGCCTGAAATGTTTGTTTTTCAGACCTGATATGGAACACCCTGAAGAAGCTGCGCGTTGATCCCGGGTGAGGAAGAGTTTTTACCTTCAGCAGCTTCACTTGCTTGTTGCTAAGCTAACGTTCAAACAAGCCCTTCAGGCCTCTAGCTTTCTTCTTCTTTGGTTTCTGATTATTGTGACCAATGGTGGACTCACGTTCGCTAACGCTCGCATAGTGGAGGGAATGTTTGGTGAGGATTTTCTAACTTTGAAAGGTGAACTTAGTTTCTCCTCTGTTGGTTTTTCAGGAGAAATTTTAAAATGCTAATTTAGTTTCTGCTGAATAAAGTTTGTAGTTTATATTCATGCTCTTATTTTGAAGTGGATGAGTTCTGTTTCCTCTCTTTTTCCCCAAAACTATCTATTAAAAGAAACGGGAACAAGATAAAATGGGCAGAAAATATGAAGATAACCATAAGTACAATAGCTTGGGTTGCTAGGCAACAGCGCGTTGCACATCTATTGTGACTTAAGAATCAGAGGTTTTTGAAATGGTTCGTTTTCCAGACACCAAAAATACTGAACTTATTACTAAAACATCTGGAGGTTTTATTTTTAATTTGTTTTTTATGCACAGTGGAAACGCAGATAAAATACAAAAACAAGCAAAATGTGAACTTTGCATAATAAGTTCCCTTAAATGCTTGTATTAGCGCTTTACTGTTAGCAGAGCTAATATTTATGATTAGCGCCTCAGCGTTGGCGCAGCTCGCTGATTGGTCAGCACTGCCCCCCTGCTGGTGAAAACATAAAGTTAAGTTTTTTCCAAAATGTTTTCTGTTGCTTTGATATTTTTCTGACGTTAATCTTGCAGGCAGAGACACGAGGAGTTTGGTGACGTGAGGAAACTCGTCACCGATGAATTTGTGCGTCAGAGGTAAGGCCTCAGCTGCTGCTGCAGCTTTCGGGTTCCTAACCCGAACAGACCCACTGTTGGCTCAGCCTTCAGTTCCTAGAGCCTCCAACCCAGAGGTTGCCGGTTCGAGTCCAGCTTGGTGTGTTCAGAGCCAGTTTCTGTCAGACCATAGACTCTGGTTTATGCCACACCACAGATTAACAGCAGCGTCGCAGAGGCGCCAGGCAGGGTCCCACTGCAAAGCCCAGGGTCCGCCAGCATTCCCACTGCAAACATCACAATGGTCCAGAGTTACCAGTTCACTGGAACCAACAGAATAACTGGAGCTATGTTTCTGAAATAATAATAATTGATTTCCTTTTTGTTCACACAAGCAGGTTGTCTGTAAATTACGGAACTTATTCTAAAATATCGGAAAATATTTAATACATTTTTTGAAAATGATTTCTTTAGCTGGGGATTTATTACCCAATTGATGCATTTTTTAATTCTGCACCTCAAATAAACCTAACAGTATTGACTAATAATAACAAAAATAAATCCGTCATGACGTCACAGTGGTTTCCTGCAGGTACTTGGAGTACGCTCGGATCCCGCACACAGAACCGGTGGAGTTCGAGTTTCGCTGGGGGCAGCGGTCCGACATGGAGGTGTCCAAAGCACAGATCCTGGAGTTCGTGGGTCAGGTGAGGAATTCATGCTGTTTGACTCTGACAGGATTTAATCCAGATTATTCTGCAACTGGTTATTCTGGTTTGTTTCAGCTTCATGAGCAGGAGCCACAGAGCTGGACTCAGCAGTACCGGGAAGCTCACTCCACCGCCGGAACCAGCGCCAGCCAGGCCAGCAGCAGCAGCAGCCACAGATAGCTGCTTACTTTGACTAGGCTTCTTCCACTGTTTAAAACGGACCTCTCGGCTCCAGATTTGCTTTCTCCTGGTTTTTAACAACATGCAACGTTTCGTTTGATTTTATTGGTCAGTTCTGGATTTGCAACGTGTCATTAAAAAGTTGTTGAAGGAAACGGCGTGCGAGTCTGAGACGTTTAGGAAGGACAAACTGGGCTTCTCTCCCGGTCGGCCATGTTTACTGGTTCCCAGCAACACCAGAACCATTTATCTGCAGGTATGTGGTTGACCTGCAACTAAAACCCAAACCCAAACTGACGAAATGGTCCTGAAGATTGTCTTTACGTTTCGGGGCAAATATTTACATTTCTGTGTAAATTTAGTTACATTTTAATGAGAATCAGTTTTGTCTGAACCATTTCAGTAAATGTAGCGCTTTAAATAAATTAGCATATTCTAATAAAGCAACAATAATCTAACACTGTTGCCCAGGGAACCTGCAGGAACGACGTTCAGAAAAATAAACGGTTCAGCGATGATGTTTATTCAGGCACCGGATTTTAATCAGACATGGTCACAACACACACATTACACCACAAATACACTCAATGGTTCACAATGTTTCATCTTTAAAGACCTGGATTAAAAAGATTTACAGAGACTGAAGCTCAGAATCACGAGCAGCAATCTTAAATAATTCACACAATGAGGTCGAGTGCAGAGGAGGAACGACTGGATGAACTGGATCACAAATCCAGGATGTCTGGTTAATCTGCAAACCATGCAGATTTACTCCCAGTGTGCGTTGATGCTGCTGCAGCTTTGCAAGCGTCGAAAACGGTTTTCAAAAGTGCACATGTGCAACAAAACAGATTTCCAGTAAATCAGGAAAAAGTTTATGGAAATTGGATGCAGTTTGTAAAGTTACTGTGAAACATTTACAGCTATAGTTTCTTTCATGTGGATGTTTATTTTTCATATCTTCATTTTCTTGCTGCATAAATAATTAGAATGCCAAACTAAATATTTAGCTGTGAAATTAAATATTTAGTTAAGAAGCTAAACATTTTGTTTAGTCTGAGTCAATATTTAGCAAGCAAAGCAGACACATAAGTATTTAAATGCTTAGTTACCAACTTAAACACTGAGTGTTTGGTGAGCAAGTTAAATACGTAGCTTGCTAAAAATTTAGTTTCACAAATAAATATTTAGCAAAATATATAGAATTTGGAGCTGGAGAATTAAATGTAGTTTGGAACATTTAGTGCTGTAGGAAAAATATGACGGGAAACGTGCAAAAGCTAAACAAGAAATTATTGCTGTTCATTTTTTTACAGTGTAACTTTAGAAACGGCCACATAAAGAGAAACGCTGCCATCGTTCTCATAATTCTGGCTTTCAAAGCAACAATTATGAGATAAAGAGTCAAAATGCAGATAGTTTTTTTCTAACGTCGACCTCATCCTCCATTTTACAAGATTAGTAAAGGATGCAAGAGCTTGAAAAAGTAAAATCATAAATCATTACAGATGCAGTTAATTCCCACAGGATATAAACAATGAAAGGTGGTACCATGTATCACTGAAGCACGGTGGTGGCAGAAGGGCCTGGGGGTTTGGTAAACAGGAGGAATGTTGGACGGTGTTAAAACAGGCAGAGGTTCAAATTTCCTCTGGATTTAGATCATTTAACAGCTAAAATCCCCTCAGTGTGAAAACATGAGGCTGCGGCGCCATCTAGCGGCGCACGGCTGTACTGAACATGATGACAATACCGAGCATTGTTTGCATTTTCATGCCTTTGAGCATCTTCATAAACATCCTTCTTCCAGCTCATAATGCTATGAATCAGGAAATTAATAGTTTTTAAAGGCACAGTGTAAACAAACCGAATGATTTGTCCCTTCTGGGCTTCCAGAGCCGTGGTGTCCTTGAAAACAAACGTCTTATTTTGAGCTAAAACTGAGCGAAAAGTTGTAACAAATTGTTTATCATCTGGATATTTTATGTGTAACTGAATGTCAACACAGAGGCACACATGAAGGTTTAGGAATGTGGAATTTCTTCTGGAAATTCTGCACTTTCCAGCTTCTTCAAGATAAATGCAAAAAGATATGAGGCTAGGAAGGGTCTGTTAGCAGGTGGCTAGCGAGGGTCTGTTAGCCGGTAGCTAGCGAGGGTCTGTTAGCAGGTGGCTAGCGAGGGTCTATTAGCAGGTGGCTAGCGAGGGTCTGTTAGCCGGTAGCTAGCAAGGGTCTGTTAGCAGGTGGCTATCAAGGGTCTGTTAGCAGGTGGCTAGCGAGGGTCTGTTAGCAGGTGGCTAGCAAGGGTTTGTTAGCAGGTGGCAAATGAGGGTCTGTTAGCAGGTGGCTATCAAGTGTCTGTTAGCAGGTAGCTAGCAAGGGTCTGTTAGCAGGTAGCTAGCAAGGGTCTGTTAGCAGGTGGCTAGCGAGGGTCTGTTAGCAGGTGGCTAGCAAGGGTCTGTTAGCAGGTGGCAAATGAGGGTCTGTTAGCAGGTGGCTAGCGAGGGTCTGTTAGCAGGTGGCTAGCAAGGGTCTGTTAGCAGGTGGCTAATGAGGGTCTGTTAGCAGGTGGCTATCAAGGGTCTGTTAGCAGGTAGCTAGCAAGGGTCTGTTAGCAGGTAGCTAGCAAGGGTCTGTTAGCAGGTAGCAAACGAGGGTCTGTTAGCAGGTGGCTAGCAAGGGTCTGTTAGCAGGTGGCTATCAAGGGTCTGTTAGCAGGTGGCTAGCGAGGGTCTGTTAGCAGGTGGCTAGCAAGGGTTTGTTAGCAGGTGGCAAATGAGGGTCTGTTAGCAGGTGGCTATCAAGTGTCTGTTAGCAGGTAGCTAGCAAGGGTCTGTTAGCAGGTAGCTAGCAAGGGTCTGTTAGCAGGTGGCTAGCGAGGGTCTGTTAGCAGGTGGCTAGCAAGGGTCTGTTAGCAGGTGGCTAGCGAGGGTCTGTTAGCAGGTGGCTAGCGAGGGTCTGTTAGCAGGTGGCTAGCAAGGGTCTGTTAGCAGGTGGCTAATGAGGGTGTGTTAGCAGGTGGCTACCAAGGGTCTGTTAGCAGGTAGCTAGCAAGGGTCTGTTAGCAGGTAGCTAGCAAGGGTCTGTTAGCAAGTAGCTAGCAAGGGTCTGTTAGCAGGTGGCTAGCGAGGGTCTGTTAGCAGGTGGTTAGCAAGGGTCTGTTAGCAGGTGGCAAACGAGGGTCTGTTAGCAGGTGGCTATCAAGGGTCTGTTAGCAGGTGGCTATGAAGGGTCTGTTAGCAGGTGGCTATCAAGGGTCTGTTAGCAGGTAGCTAGCAAGGGTCTGTTAGCAGGTAGCTAGCAAGGGTCTGTTAGCAGGTGGCAAACGAGGGTCTGTTAGCAGGTGGCTATCAAGGGTCTGTTAGCAGGTGGCTAAGAAGGGTCTGTTTGCAGGTGGCTAGTGATGGTCTGTTAGCAGCTAGCTAGTGCTAGCCTAAATGATGTGTGCGTGACTCAAACATATTTAGCTAAATAGCTCTGCCTGTGATTATTTATTGCACATCTTTTATGAACTGAAGACATTATAGGATGCGCTGACACCCTAGTAAACACAATATTAGCAAATACGCTATGTTAGCTAGGCTAATTTAGCTAGTTCGGCAGTAAGTACTACAGTAAAGATTGGTTAGCAGAGATGGCTAAGTTCTCAAAAGCTGTAATCAAGTAAGTTGTATGAGCTGGAACAGTTGTCAGAGCAACTGCCTACCAACATGGCTGTCGGTCACAAAGTTCCTGGAAATGTGATGGCAGCTGAATTTAACATTTACATCCAGCTGATGTAAATGAATGAGGGAATGAACGTCACTTTCCAAACCTAAAACATGGCGGCCGCCGCTGTTATTGCTGAACACATGAAATTACAAGAGAAGAAATCACAGGATGAAGAGATGCAGCGTGAAACAGATCAGTGACTGGTGAACAGTCGTTTCAGCCTGGACCTTCCAGATAAAGTGCACTGACAGTGGAACTAAGATGGAAGAAACCTTTCGTTATCAGTGAGCTCTCAGTTCTAAAACAAGGATTACAGAAACATCTCTGGACGGATGCTGAGGCGTCCTCTAGATGTGTTCAGGAACCGTCTCCAGCGCCTCCTCCGGGTCTCTGTCCACATCCACATTCTGAGAAAAACAAACTCGAGATGTTTATCAAACTATTTACATCAAAAGATACAAAAATCTGTTTTCCAATTCAGGATTTTGTGATTGTTTTGCAATTTTATTCTTTACAATCAAAATTGCTTATTTTGTCATTCTACTTTAGAAATATTTGATATTTTTTACTCTTCTAAAATCTGCATATATAAGAAAAGAGATTAGAAAAAACAACTGGACACAAACATTTTCTTTTTTAAAACATTTAAATTAATTTTCTACTTGCTGTATCAATGAAAGTAAAGCTCTGAGTGAAGCTGAGGCAGGAATGGAAAAGTTTCATGTGGGACAAACGTAACATTTGTGTTTTTATCAGACAGGCAGGTCTGAAAATCTTCCAGTTTCTGTTATCGCTGGCTGAGCCGCCGTACTGACACGCTGCAGTTACCTCGGGCCGGTCTCTGTGTGTGTTCACAGCTTCAATGTTGAGAAAGACCGACTCAACTTTACACCCTGAGGGAAACCAAACAGAAGTGGTGAAATACGTCTCAGCAAACATCAGATCCAGACCCAGAGCAGCTGAGGCTGATAAACTGCCGACTGATGGGGAACAGCGGCAGCAGAGACGCACCGTAGGCGACCGGCGTGAGCTTCAGGACGGTGTGCAGAGGACACTTCAGGTACGGCAGCTCACCTGCCACAGAACAGGAGTCACTGCGTCAGAAACACACCAGCTGCACCAATAATCTTGGCAGTGATAAATGTAAACAGTTACATCAGTTATATTCAGGCATTGGAGCGATATGGGAAGCCATCCTGCTCAAATATATATGACACGTTGGCTGTGTTGTGTTAAATATTCATGTTTGCATGTTAAATTTGAGCTGGATGGCTTTCCATAGAGCAACAAGCCCCGCCTACTTGGGCGTGGCTACGTTTGTGGCATTTTGGGGAAAATGTAGTCGACCATTTTCCAGGAGAGGTTTGGATTCAACTGGTTGGAAGGACAGAACGTTTTATGGACTGTGATGCTGTGAGAGCCCTGATGGACCAACCGTCATCCCTTCGCCACTTCCTGTCAACTTTTCTTCTTCATTTCCATCAGTAGCAACATCTGGTTGTTGATCACGTAACTTTTGTGATGCGAATTTGTTTTTGGTACGGTTAAAAAAAACACCTCATCCCATCCCTAAAACTGTTTATTGAAAAATGTTTCAGTGTTTCTATCTGATTAAAATGTGTTTTTTATACATTTGTTGAAAATCACCATGTTGTTTGGTATAATAATCTGTGAGCTGCTCACAGATTATCTCCCACTGCCAACTAGAAGCAACTAGTCAGAGCCAGGAGGCGGGTCTTAGCTTGCTGCAGCTAGCATAGCATGTTGTAAACGCTAAGCTAGTTAACATAGCCACCAATTACGGCAAATAATAAATTTTTCTGTCATGGAAAGTTGTTTCTTCACCATTAGCACATGTTTCAGCGTGTACATCAGTTTGATTGACAGCGCTAAGCCCCGCCTCTGGCTCTGATTGGTTGTTTTTGTGTCTTCAGACACAGTAGCAGATTATCTGTGTCATAAACTGTCACAACATGCTGACAGATTTAACACAAATGTCCAGAACATTTACTTGATAAAAGTTACGTACTGCAACTTTACGCTAATTTATTTTCATAATTTTACTTTGTGCAGTTCTATGGCTAATGGAAACGCAGCTACTGGAATATTTTGGGTAAAATAAAGATGTTTTTTTTTCTCACTTGCACTTTTGTCCAGGAAGTAGGCCATCAGACATCTCATGACTGCCTGGTGACAGATGACCAGGACGTTCTCCTGCCTCTCCAGCTCCATGATGACGGGCTCCAGACGCTGGACCAGGTCCTCGTACGACTGGAGGGCAAAGGTTAAACAGTCACCTGATCCAGGTTGGATTTATAAACACACCAATGATAAACGTTCTCAAACCTGCAACTCCAGTTCGCAAAAGTGAGTTCATACTTAGTCTTTTTTTTCTTTATTTTTGACATTACTGTCATTCCGTACAGGATCAGAATACAATGAGTCAACTGGACACGTCACTGGATCGGTTTCCTTATTAAAATCAGAATTTATTGGAGCAAACCTCCGATATTAAAGTCTATGAATGGAGACTAATCTAGAAATCTGTAGAGTAGATGTGAAACTAATATTTTTTATTCTTCTACCTTTTTGCTTTTTCAAATGTTTCTATTTTTCTCCCATTTTGTCTGTTTTAAAGTTTTTTCTTCCGTTTTTTTCTCTTTATACCCAGAAGATCCTTCAGTACTTGCAGAAACTAATTCGGTTACAAATGAAGAGTTTATCAGACTGATTGTTGAAGCGTCTGAATTATTTTTTAACCCTGATTATCCTAAATGCTGCAGATCTGTTTTAGCTCTTCCAGCACCAGTTACTTCCTTCCTGCTGCCGTTAACCAAACGTTTTCACTCCGGGTTCGGGAACAACCTGCGACTCGTTCTGGGCTTCCTGCAGACTCACCTCTCCTTTGGGGTACCGGTACCGATATTTGTCCTGATCCCTCAGAGCGAACTCCTCTGGGTAATGCTCCTGAATCTCCTCATAAGTCATTTCCTCACAGACTCCCTGAGCGGAGGATGAAAACATGAATGTGACGTGAGGGCGGGAGTCTTGCGTGTGAATGCGGGTCGGTGTGTCTCACAGCGTCGATCTCGTTCAGGGCCTTCCACTGCTCGTACTGGACCCGCAGCGCCTCCGCGGTCTGGATGGTCCTCTTCATGTGGCTGGTCCAAACCTTCAGGTCGCTGAGGTTCTGGCTGCGCATGTAGGCGCCCAGCGCCGCGGCGAACTGACAAACACAGAACTAAACATCAGCAACTAAATATTTCTCTTCCCAGCTAAATATGCAATTAGTTACTATTGTTTTATTTACCAACTACAAATTTAGTTGGGATACTAAGTACTTAGTATGGAGGTACATAATTAATTGGTAAGTTAAATATTTACATTGTAAACAAAATATTTAGTTCCTAATACTTAGCTTAGCAACTAAATATTAGCATAGCAACTAAATATTTATTTACAAAATGAAAATGTAGCTGGTAAACTAAATATTTAGTTGCTAAATTAGCCAAGCATTTAGTTAAATATCTATTTAACAAGTAAAATCTGTGTTTGTAAACTAAACATTTAGTTTGAATCGCCGTATTTAGTTGTTTTATCAACTAAATATCTGGTTAGGTAAATATTTTTGATTTGTTTGAGCCTTTACATCCTGCATAAAGGCTGATTCTAATCTATAGCATAATTTAAAGAGCTTTTATCGGTGCTCCGCCTGGATGTGTTTTTTATTGATTATTGATAGATATTTGAGTTGTTTTGCCATCTGAGTGATTTTGTTATCGCTGGACTTTGCTCTGCAGTGAAACTGGGAGTGCTGCAGCTGCGGCCGCTGCGGCGGCTGCTGCAGCTGCGGCTGCAAACATAAACATCAGCATCCAGCACTCTGCATGATAGGATTCACCTTTGACCTCAGCTGATCATCTTAAACTTGGACTCTGGTTCTGTTTTGTTTGGTGAAATGCTGAGTAGCCGATGCGGCGCTGGCTGACCTTTGCCCCCCGGTGGGACAGGCCGGAGTCTCCCCCGATGCGCCCCACCAGGTTGAGCTCGCTCTCGCCGTGCCGGGACAGGTAGATGGATCTGGGCGTGACGTGGATGTTCATGAGGTAGTAGACGATCCGGCTCTGGATGTGGTCCTGGACCCGGTTCACCAGGTACCGGCTGCCCACGTTGAAGATCTTAATGTACGATAAACTCCTGCGGAGAGAAACCGCATGAAGCTTGTTACGTCATTTAGCCTTTAATATGGAGCAAAGATACAGTAAAACTTTTAACGTCTAGAATTTGGATTATTTAGCATCAGAGAAGAAAAAAAATAGGGGATAATTTTTAAATTAATAATTTTACAACATTATTCATTAATCTTAAATGTTTAAAATAAATATTTAATTGGCAAGCTACATAATTAACAACTAAATCTTTAGCTCCAAACTAAATATAATATAAACAACAGATCTAAATATCAGTTTACTAACTAAATATATAGTCGTACAACTTTATATTTAGCTTTAAGCTGAACATTTAGCCTAATGATGTATGTTTAGCTAGTGGTGGTGTCGTATCGATATGTTTAGCTAGTGGTGATATCGTATCGGTATGTGTAGCTAGCGGTGGTATCGTATCGGTATGTTTAGCTAGCGGTGGTATCGTATCGGTATGTGTAGCTAGCGGTGGTATCGTATCGGTATGTGTAGCTAGCGGTGGTATCGTATCGGTATGTGTAGCTAGCGGTGGTATCGTATCGGTATGTGTAGCTAGCGGTGATATCGTATCGGTATGTGTAGCTAGCGGTGGTATCGTATCGTATGTGTAGCTAGCGGTGATATCGTATCGGTATGTGTAGCTAGCGGTGGTATCGTATCGGTATGTGTAGCTCGCGGTGATATTGTATCGGTATGTGTAGCTAGCGGTGGTATCGTATCGGTATGTGTAGCTAGCGGTGGTATCGTATCGGTATGTGTAGCTAGCGGTGGTATCGTATCGGTATGTGTAGCTAGCGGTGGTATCGTATCGGTATGTGTAGCTAGCGGTGATATCGTATCGGTATGTGTAGCTAGCGGTGGTATCGTATCGGTATGTGTAGCTAGCGGTGGTATCGTATCGGTATGTGTAGCTAGCGGTGGTATCGTATCGGTATGTGTAGCTAGCGGTGATATCGTATCAGTATGTGTAGCTAGCGGTGGTATCGTATCGGTATGTGTAGCTCGCGGTGATATCGTATCGGTATGTGTAGCTGGCGGTGGTATCGTATCGGTATGTGTAGCTAGCGGTGGTATCATATCGGTATGTGTAGCTAGCGGTGGTATCGTATCGGTATGTTTAGCTGGCGGTGGTATCGTATCGGTATGTGTAGCTAGCGGTGGTATCGTATCGGTATGTGTAGCTGGCGGTGGTATCGTATCGGTATGTGTAGCTAGCGGTGGTATCGTATCGGTATGTGTAGCTAGCGGTGGTATCGTATCGGTATGTGTAGCTAGCGGTGGTATCGTATCGGTATGTGTAGCTAGCGGTGGTATCGTATCGGTATGTGTAGCTAGCAGTGGTATCGTATCGGTATGTTTAGCTGGTGGTGGTATCGTATCGGTATGTGTAGCTAGCGGTGGTATTGTATCGGTATGTGTAGCTAGCGGTGGTATCGTATCGGTATGTGTAGCAACGGTGATATTGTATCGGTATGTGTAGCTAGCGGTGGTATCGTATCGGTATGTGTAGCTAGCGGTGATATTGTATCGGTATGTGTAGCTAGCGGTGGTATCGTATCGGTATGTGTAGCTAGCGGTGGTATCGTATTGGTATGTGTAGCTAGCGGTGGTATCGTATCGGTATGTGTAGCTAGCGGTGGTATCGTATTGGTATGTGTAGCTAGCGGTGGTATCGTATCGGTATGTTTAGCTGGCGGTGGTATCGTATCGGTTACCGGTCCTTGCTGTCGTCCAGGGGAACGTAGGTCATCTTGTAACACTCGATCCTCTTCAGAAAATCTGAAACAGCTTCTTCTTTGTCACAATCGATGTAATCAGGACTCGAAAGCTTCACTTGCTGTTTACCACAGAAAAAAACGCCTTCAGAGTGTGAGGTCAACCGTAAATAATCAGTTCATCACATGATAAATTAATCGATCGATAAGTTCCCCTCTGAAGATTAATACTCTTGCTTATAAACTTCATAATCTAATTTATTTGGTTGTCTGTGGTTTTTATTTTCGTTTTCATTTTTGCTTTGGTTTTAATTTGGATATTTAAACAAAATGAAGCTTTATTAGTCTTATGACTAATAAATGGGAGCATATTTTAAAATGTATAATTCTGACTTTTATCACCTTGATGAATTAAATTACTAATATGAAATAAAACCAAATCTGCTTTTATTTTTCACTGTTCAACAAGAGCATCAATGAATATCAGCAAATTCAAAAATATGATTGAATGCAGTTATTGTCTGCAGTTCAATGAAATGAATGACATTTCTATTGTTTTTTCAGTCATCATCACCAGCAGATGTTTATCACAGTAACTTACTTTAATATTCTCAGCAATAATTTCAGGATCGTCGCAAATCGACTCCACAAAGAAAACCTGAACCAGGGAGAAGATGGAAGCTGAAGCTCCGTGTTTGACTCATTTCTACGTTTCACAGCAGGAAACATTAAAAACCAACTTTGTAGCCGTTCTCCTTGCCGAAGCTGAGGATGACCTCTCTGCGCTCCGGCGTCGTGTTGGTGGCATCGAAAACCTGGCAGGACAAAATCAGGACCGAGAATAACTACGACTTTAACTCCTGCAGATGTTTCAAAGATCACAACAAAACATTGATCATTAACCAAAAGAACGTCTGATGGTTCTGTTGTTACGGTCGGATCAGCTTCAGGTGAACTTCTCCAGATTTGCATCCTGTCTCTGAACATCGCTCTTTGGATAACCTTTGACCTGAACTCACCGCGACCTGACCTTGGTAAGTGGTCAGGTAGTCACTCACATCCTGCAGGGCCGTTTTCACACAGGCGCTGCAAGAAAACACAAAACATCAAAAACAGCACGAAAAACACCAGAAATAAAATAAAAACATCAAAAAAATATTTAAAAACCAAAAAGGCAAAATAAAAACATTAAAAACAAAATAAAAACATTAAAAACTACATCAAAAACATTAAGAAACAACAAAAGCAAATTAAATATAGATGAAACTTAAATGTGGGATTTCCAGCTGAATCTGAGGATTTGATGAAATCGTAATATTTTCTTCAATCTGTTTCTACCTTCGTATCTTCATGGCTTCTGCGTTGTCAGGTTTAAAAAACTCGTAGCTGTTGTAGGAGCGGGTTGCTTCTCTTCTGTACTGCCCCACATTAAACACTGAAAAACAAGAAATAATAAAAAATCATCTCAGAATCTTTAATCATTTTATTGCACTTGAATTGAAAACAAAGAAATGCAATTCAAAAATCATTTATGCTTCTAAATTATTCACTAAAGAAAAACATTAAAAATTCACCAGAAAAAAACGTAAAAAAATTTGACTAATATCAAAAATTTTCTAAGTTTCATAAGTTGAAGATTTGCATGAAAAACTCTAAACTTTTCAAGGTTCATTTCAGAAATTTTCTAGAAAAATCTTAAATTTTCAGATTAAAAACAGAAAAAAACAATTTAGGACAAAGGATGAAATTTCCAACTTTAAAGTTTCAAAACTTTACAATAAAAGACTCAGACATTTGCAGATGAATTCAGAAAGTTTCCTGAAAACATTTGGAAACCCTTAAGGTTGAACATTTTCAACTTTTGAAATTCAGAAAATTTCCAAAACCTTGAAATGTTCTGGTTCTAGCAGCAGTAGTCCGACCCGATGACGGACACCAGGGGTCAGAAACGCTGCAGCTGAAGGCAGTAAAACCCAGTTGGACCCGGCAGGAGGACGACGATACCTTTGGTCGACACGCCGATCCAGTTCAGGTACCTGGTGAGCTTCTTGGAGATGTAGGTTTTGCCGCGAGCCGGCAGGCCGACCATCACGATCACGGTGGGAGAATTGGTGAACTGGGGAACCGAAGCTGAAACACAAGAAGAAGAAACTTTATTGATCCCAAACGGAAATCAAACTGAGAGTTCAGGGGTCGAAGGTCATCCAGCTGCTAACAATTTCACATGATGGAAGAGATGGTCTGTTGCCATAGATACTAATCATAAGAAAAGACGAACGTTTGATCAAGAATCCATCACACAGTATGGCTGAAACAATCAACTAATTTTATCAACTAAATCAGTTAGCATTGCTTGCTGTGACTGCTAGGCGAGCTAGCATTGCTTGCTGTGATTGCTAGGCGAGCTAGCATTGATTGCTGTGAATGCTACGCTAGCTAGCATGGCCTGCTGTGAATGCTACGCTAGCTAGCATTGATTGCTGTGACTGCTAGGCTAGCTAGCATGGCCTGCTGTGAATGCTACGCTAGCTAGCATTGATTGCTGTGACTGCTAGGCTAGCTAGCATGGCCTGCTGTGAATGCTACGCTAGCTAGCATGGCCTGCTGTGAATGCTACGCTAACTAGCATGGCCTGCTGTGAATGCTACGCTAGCTAGCATGGCCTGCTGTGACTGCTAGGCTAGCTAGCATTGATTGCTGTGACTGCTAGGCTAGCTAGCATGCCCTGCTGTGAATGCTACGCTAGCTATCATGGCCTGCTGTGAATGCTACGCTAACTAGCATGGCCTGCTGTGAATGCTTCGCTAACTAGCATGGCCTGCTGTGAATGCTAGGCTCGCTAGCATTGTCTATTCTGAATGCTAAGGCTAATTAGCATAGCCACTTCTGATGAGGGATAATCGGTTTTCTTGTAACGGTGAGTTGTTTTCCGCCTTTAGCACATTTAGTAGTGAGTACGTGAGGTGACTGGCAGCGCTAAGCCCCGCCTCCTGGCTCTGATTGGTTGTTTCTGAAGCGTTTCAGCTGTAGATTTATCTTTTCACGGATTATCTGTCATGTTCAACTATTGTCACATGGCGACCGCCTGAATAAACGTGTAAAAACTTTTTGTTTTGCTACAAACTTCCAACTGCAGCTTTAAAATCGGATCAGAACACAATGACCCCGTGACCCCTTGGGGTGAATGGCCTTCAGGACTTCTCCATGTTTCCAAAATGAGAAACATCCAAACTCAGTCGGCTTAAAGTCTCACACTCCTCAAAAAGAGAGGCACAGAAACCCACAGCGGGTCAGAACCAGAACCGGTGGTTCTGTCTACTCACAGCCTCTGCGTTTGCTCAGTCTGCTTCCCATCCAGGGAACCCAGGTTTTCTCCAGGGGGGTTCTGGTGAGCGTCGCCTGGTTCTGGGACATGACTCCGCTGTGTGTGTGTGTGTGTGTGTGTGTGCGTCTTGGCGTCGTCTCAGAGTCGGTGTGTGTGTAACAGCAGGGATCTTCCCAGTTAAACATGCAGTTTGAACTTTCTCACAATGTGGGCGGAGCTACCTGTTTGCTTCGCTGTGATTGGTCGGTTCGTCTGTTTGTCTCAGAATAACGTCCAGTCAGCACAACGCTACACTTTGACCTGGAATACAGGAAGTGGATGTTCTGTGGGATCCTGATGGCTGACAGCAGGAAGCTGAATCGATCAATCCTGATTAATTGATTATTGAAATAACCACCAATTAATCCAGTTATTGATTAAACATTGACAGAAAAAAGGCCATTTGCTGGAAGAATAACACTCTCAGTGCATGAATTCAGCCAAAACGGTTCGAAAAATATAATATTTTTTGAATAATAATAATAATAATCCTTCAAACCCTCTGAGAGAGAAAATCATTCAGACATGAAGCATCAATGCTTGGATGGTGGAACCAAGTGTTCAATAACTGCTGTCAGACACCAGGCTGATCGCTGCGATAAAGAAACTTTTTAAATCAATGTGTCCACTTTGGAGGCACAACTAATCTTGTTTTGATGAAGCTCAGACAAAATCTTCCCAACCAGCTTCTGCGTACGGAACTCCTGAAATGCCAAAAAGGAAAAGGAACCAAGAAAACTATGAGGTGACATGAAGTTAAAAATGACAGCAATAATTTGGGTTATTTAATAAAAGAAAAAAAGGGAATTAATTTTTCACAATGTTGGTCATCCAGGTAAACATTTAGTTTATGTTCAAGTTAAATAGCTCTGAGCTACATATCAGCTTCAAAGTAATTATTTGGCTTCAAAATAAAAATGTACTTAGCAAGACAAATAGTTAACTAAATATAGAGTTCAGAGCTATTTAGTTTGGAGCTAAGTATTTAGTTTGCTAATATTTTCCGAAGCTTAAATATTATTCAAAGTGAATTTGCATATTAGCTAAATATTCAGTTTGTGCTCTAAATATTTTGGTTGTAAACTAAATGATTAGCTGCTTAACTAAATATTTAGTTTGGAACTAAATATTTTAACTGGACATGATGAAGATTTAACAAAGCAGCTTGTTGTTCCTCCATGTGGTGTGTGTGTGTGTGGGGGGGGGGGGGGGGAGGTGGAGGCACAGCGGGCGCCTGGTTTATACAATGACTCTTCCTTCTCCACGTGCACGCGCCTGCCTGCCACGCACGAGCTCGAGACTCCAAAATAACAAACAAAGAGCCGAGCATCTTCAGCTCAATAGAGGATCTTTGATCAGACACAAGGTCGCGCGCGGAGGATTTCACCTCTCAATGAAGAAAGAAAGAAAGAATGAATGAATGAATGAATGAATGAATGAATGAATGAATGCATGAATGAATGCATGAATGAATGAATGAATGAATGAATGCATGCATGCATGATGCAGCGGGTCGGTGCGGTTTACCGTGCGGACGCTGGAAGCGGAGCATCTTCCCGGGTCTCGGTTCCGTCCTGCGCCGTCAGTTCTGACACCATGTGAGCACCGAGCGTGAAAGCTGGCCGTGGGCCCGCCCACTCCACGAAGCCTCCACGGAGCCTCCACGGCGCGTCCTCATCCTGCTGCTGCAGGTCTGAAGCCTCCAGGTTCTCCTCCTCCACAGGAACCGCGTCATGGTTACGTCACGACCCGCTGCAAGAAATAACAACTTCCTGCCTGCAGTTTCTGGAAAACACTTAGAAACGTCTGAACTTCAGCAAAACAAGAGAAGAAAAGAAAAGACAAGAAAAGTCCAAATTTGCGGTGAAAAATCTTAAATTTTCTATCAAAATCAGATTTCCGAATATGAAAGGGAAATCTGATATTTTAGATCAATCAGATATTTTCTAGAAACCGGGAAATGTCTGAGCTTCAAGTCAAAATTTAGCAAAAAAATAAAGAAGAAAGTGATAAATGTCAAATTTTCTAGAAAAAAAACATTGACTTTTTTATTAATTTTGAGAAACAAATCTGAAATTTTGAGATTAATATTAGAAATTTCTAGAAAAATCAAAGATTTCTGAATTTGAAAGGTAAGAAAATTAGTAAGAAAGAGCTTGGAAATTCCATTTCCAAAAATCCAAAATATTAAGATTTTTTTTTTAAAATTACACATTTTGAGATTGATCTCAGAAAATATTGAAAAACTTCTAAGCTCAAAAAACAAAAACATACTTTTTTTTTTTTAAACTGAACTTTTCAAGATTAGTCCTGAAAGCTCTAAAATCCCGGAAAGATTTCTTCATATACAAACAATTGTGGGGAAAAAATAAATTTTTTTAGATTTATCTCAGAAATTTTCTGTTTTCTTAATATAAAGCATAAATAAATGTGCAGGAGAAATAACCCAGAAATTTTTGGATTAACTGCAGAAATATTCTAGGAAAATCTCAGAAATGTCTCAGTTCTTCTAATCAAAAATTTGCAAAAAAAAAAAGTTCTGCAAAAACGTGTGAATTCTGAATGTGAAAAGTCATAAATTTACAGGAAAATAATCAAAACTTTTAGATCAGTCTCAGAAACAAACAGAAAGGAAATTTCTGAGCTCTAAAGTTGAAAATCTTCAATAATTTTTTCTAGAGCGTTTTGCATAAATGTCGTCCTGTTCCGTCTGTAGGGCGGCGCTGTGGTTCGCTGCAGCCTGTCAAACAGAACCCAGAGCCGATGTTCAGTAAATGCGTTGCCATGTTTATTATTCGTTGACAGTCTGAGGTTAGTTCGCCAGCTTACATACAGCACAATGCAACAAGCGAGTTAGTAGCACATCTCAGTATTGCAGCCAGTTCTCCTCTCCGTCCACGGTCCGGGGTCCGGTTCGGTCCGGTCTGGTCCGAGCCCCGCTGAGGGCTCCCTGTTCCGGCTGGTTCTGGATGGAACCAGGAGAACCGGAACATCTGAGCAGCTTCATCACAGAACATCTGCAAACCTCAGGGAAGTCCGTTAAAAGTCTCTGCTCCGGGTCCAACGACGTCGGAGAAACGAGAAGAAAGGAGCAAATTTCCGTCCAAAAATCCCAGAAAGTTTCTATGAAAACAAACTAAAATTTACAACTTATGAAACTCAGAAATTTCAGAAAAAACAAGAAAATTTGTGAACTCCAAAAGTCAAAACTTTAGGAAAAAATTTAGATTTAATCTCAGACATTTTCTACAAATTTTTATTCTGAGTTTCAAATGGCAAAAATTTAACTTTTGAAACTTAGAAATTACTTGTTTTTTTTTCTAGAATTTTTCCAAGACTAATCTAAAAATGTGTTTTTTCTATCAGGTTTTTGACTTTTCAATCTCAGAAATTTCAGTTTTTCTCAAAAATTTCTAAGATTAATTTCAAAATTTGACATTCATTTTTGACTTCTCAAAGTAAAAAAAAATGTCCTTGTTTTTTCTCAAATGTTGAATTTTGTAGACTTTTTTGATCTGAAAATCCTGAGTGTTTTTGGCAGACATTGACTCCATTTTTCTGCGCCCGGCACCGTTTGAACGTCACGTTTAATAATCTGTATTTTCTGCTGCGTCTCTAAACTCTACAGGAAACAGGAAGAGGGTTGAATTTCCTAATTGTCTTCTCTACAGGATCTGGAGCTACGAAGTGACACGAGGGGAAAGGTCAGCAGCAGACAGTGGGTGGGAGGTCTGGACGTTACAAACGCTCAAAATCAAACACGTCAATAGATAATAAAAACAATTTGGTTATTTTATAAAACAAGCTGTATAAAGTAACAAAAGAGACAATCTTAAGGTTTTATTTACATTCAGAGAAGGAAAACGTGATTTTCTTTTCTGCCTGCATAACAATTTTCCCGCCTCTCCACAGGAAGCTGGGAGCTTTTGCAACTAAAAATCACTGCAGTCAGTTAAAACTGGCGCCATCTGGTGGCCAAAGGGACTAACTACCTTTATTACAATGCGGCTGAACTTTTCCCTTTAAAAACTGAGGCACGCTGAAAATGTGTGAAATGAAACATTATATGATGGGATTTATACTTTATTCTGAGTACAGGGTTTAGTCGCGCGCTGAAGCTGCACAGAGAAGCAGGTTAGTACCGATTTATCCTCTCAGAACCAAAGTCTGCATCATTCCCGGTTCGCCCATGAAGAATTTAAATGTTTCTATAAAAAAAGTTACGACGTTTGAGTAAAAATGGATGAAGAAACGGAATGAGGCAGAAATATTGATGGGAAATTCAGCTAAATGCATCATATTTGTCCAGCTGCGCCAGTTTTTGCTTTTTAAGGAGAATTTGAAGCTGTTATATTCTGACAGAGCGATAATAATATGATTCTGAGCTCAACAGTACAAAGCTGCTAACTCCAAGCTTTACAGCAATGGTTAGAAATACGGCAGTGAAGATTCACTGCAAAAACACAAAATAATAGTTAATAGTCCAGCTGCAGTGCAAATAGATTAAATACAAATAACTTGATTTGAAGCTTTAAGTAATTCCATAATATGAAATATTAGTTCAATTTACTTGGAACTAGAACTTTTCATCAATATTAAGGAATTAATTACTTAAAATAAGTTTCTAAACTTGCTGATAAGATGATTTAAAATGACTTTGGTCTTAATTTAGTGTTTTAATCTGCCTGCACTACAAAACTGGACTATAAAACTCCTGGTTACTTTGTGTTTTTGCAGAGTTGAACAGTAAAGAGTAACTTACTGCAGTGGATTTCATTTCATGAATATATATTTGTTTCTATAAAGGAGCCAAATTTGTTCATTTTCTTGCAGTTAGCAGTTTTGCATCAAAAGCTGTAAACATGGAGTAAAACTTCCTGTGGATGTCGGAATCAGGAAGTGGACTCGGGTCTGTCTCTGCTGCAGGCATGCACGTGTGGGCGGTTCTGGTTCTGGATCTAGCTGGGCCGGTTCAGGATGCCGGACATGGAGGGAGCGAAGGGCGGCGGCGGCGGGTTGATCGGGGAGGCCGGGCCGGAGCTGCCGTGCGGCGCGGCGGCGGCGGCGGAGCGGCCGCTGTACTGGCCGATGAAGGAGCCGTCCTCGTTGAACTGGATGTCCACGCTGTCGCCGTACTCGGCCAGCGAGTCGTCGCTCCCCAGCTTGCTGTCGTCGCACAGGGACCGCTGGCTGTCCGAGCGTTTCTCGTCGCCGTCGCTGCGGGGAAGCAGAGCGGGAACAGCGGTTGGTGACGGCGGCGTCAGAACCAGATTTCAACTTTTTCACATTTTGTCACGACCACAAACTTTTAGTTTTGCTTTATTTGCAGTTCTGTGGGACAGAAAGTAATGGAAGCAGCTAAAGCAACGGAAATTAATGAATTATTTTCATATGTTTCTGTGTTTTTACAAATGTAAATCTGAAAAGTGTGGTGTGCACATGTATTTAGCCCTTAATACTTTCTAGGACCATCTTTTATTGAGGTTAGAGCTGCAGTTCTCTTTGCAAGTCGCGTTTAGTCGCTTTAATCAACTCCGGTCCATTTCAGAAAGTCTAGTTTGTTTGGGGTGCTGTGAACGCGCAAGCTAACTCTGATCCGGCTACAAACCTCCATCTGGTTCGGTTGAAATGAACTCTGGTTCGGTTTGAATGCACATGAGAACACCAAGCAGACCAGAGACCGCTCCAATAGCAGGAAGTGGACCACAACGCAGGGCATTTTGGGTAAAAACAACCAAAGCTAACATGCTAGCCTAATGCTAGCAGCAGAAATGTCTCATGGTCTTTGGCTAAAGACCACCAGACCTTATGACCTCTAAACCTTATGACTTTAGAGGTCACAAGGTGGCTGAGCTCTCGAGCAGTTCACTGCACTGGATTTTATTGAGGGGTTTTGGAGTGAAGGGGGTTTGTTGCTGAAGGTGTGCGATATAAATAAAGATACCTTTACCTTTGTATCCAACTGCGTGTCACACATTTCAGATTTTCACTAGTAAAATATTTTGGCTCCACTTTATGTTGAAAACACAATAAGTTTGTGGCTTTGATGCATCAAAATGTTAGAAAGGTCAGAGAGTGTGAATATATTTTAAACGGATTATAATAATCTGCTGTAATCAGAGGAAAACAAAGGGATGGAGAACAAAAAGTGACGAATTTATACAAAAAGCCATAAAAAGCTTGAACCAAAACAGAAATAAGACGTCGGCTCAAAAGGCTGCAGCGGCTCAGAAAGTCGTTTCCAGTCTGAGACAAATGATTCTGCAGCAACACAAATGTTGGGTTTTTCAAACCTCAGTCACTGAGGTTGGAGATATTAGAACTAAATACTTAGCTTGCTAACTACTTTTGAGCTAAATATTTAGCTTGAAGCTAGTTATTAAGTTTGCTCACTAACTAGCTTTCTAACTAATTTAAACCAAATATTTAGCTTACTAATGAAGCAAATATTCATTAGCAATATATAGCTAATTAGACTCTTAATCTAATATTTCCATAGTTACAAAGCTAAATAATTAGCTTAATCTGGATCTAAATGTTTAGTTTTAAACTGTGATATTTTAATGACTGAATGATGAGGTGAAAATATGGCTGAAATATTTTTCTCCTATAACAGACTCGTCTGAGACGTTTTTAAATTTCTTCTCATTTCCTCATAGAAACATGAAAACCAGACCCACAGAAATTTGTGTGGCTGCTAA